ACAATTCTTTAAAAGAAAATTCAATGTTTCTAATTTAATTTAAATTATTTTATTTATTTATTTATTATTATTTTTTTAAAAAAAAAAAAAAAGTGTTGTAGGTAGAGGTGTAGTGTTAGTGTTAGTCCATGATTATTGCACCAATACCTTACGTCTTTCAATTTCTTGATTTTAGTTCATTCAATCATATCAACCCACCACCAACAATCTTCTCTTGTGTTTGCTTTATGTTTTTTCAATTTAAAAGATATAAATTGCATGTAATTTTCAACAAAAATATAATATTATTTTATATATATATATATAAAATATTAGTTCATATTATTGTTATACAAACTCAAACTATTCAAATCATTGTCACACAAACTCATATATATATATATATACTATGCATATTTTTTAATAAAAATAAACTACTATTTTATCTTGCAAAATATTTTAATAATATTTTTCATTAGTCCTCATAGTTAAAAATTTAAAGAAAAAAATCTAAACAATCATATTTACCTAACAACAATTTTAAAAAAAAAAAAAATCGATATAAATCCTTATATATTCATTTAGTTATAAATTGTATTTGCATACAATTTCTCATAACATATAAATTACTAAGAAAAGTCTAATAAAATTCAAATAAAATTTATTCTAATTTTATTATTGACATTTATCAAAATATGAAATAATATTAAAGCAAAGATTTCTTGAACTTGAGTTGTACACCAAATTTGAGTGTTCCCATCATAATCCAAACTCGTATATATTTGAATTACTTGCAATTAAAATTGATTTCTTACTTGATTAAAATATACAAACTTACCTTTTTAGGCCAAAAAAGATTGAGTATTATAATTAATTATATATTAATATGTCAATGATAGTTGTCAAATAGAAAGTTACATTTCTAATAAAATAAACAAAAAATATAAATAAAAATATGATATCCAATAAATAGCTAGTTGGAAACATAAGCCAATATTTCATTATAACGGCATTTTGGATGATTATTTATAAAGTATTTTTTTTATTTTAAAAAAAAATAATTATACATTAATATCAAAATATTTTTAATTTTTTTAAAAAAATTACAAACATACTATTATACATACATATAAAGTCAAACGACAAAAATGTCAAAAACTCTTCCGTATTTCTAGTTATCAATATACTGTAAATAAAAGTACGATAAAAGGGTTAGAAATGATAGCCAGACACGTGGCAGATGACCGACCGACCGACAAAGATTGGCCGGCTATTCCGTGTCACTTTTCGGTGACACGTGGCGTGATTTTATTCGGTAACAAGTACCGATGAAGCGCTGGAAAAGTGTTGCGATTGGTTTAAATACAAATTAATATATATATATTATATATTAATAAATCGCCCACTAAAAGGATTCCCTTTCTCATAATCTATAAATTAAACATTATTTAAATGTATAAATCTCTTTATACATATTTGATCAACTTAATATGCACTACTACTTAATGCTGCATTAAAATTAGGTTAAATTGCACAAAATTTACTTGTGCTTTTATAAAATTGCGTCAAATATCCAATATTTTCAAAATTGCATCAAACTCCCTAGTTGTTTCATAAACTCTACATCTAAACTTCTTATTTAACGGTATTTGACCTAAATGTGTCCAAACTACGAATAAATTTTAGAATCTCAATTTCTAAACCCCTAAAATTACAAATATATTTATTTTTCTTATATTTAGCCTCAAAAAATAGTAAATATACTCAAAATTAGCTATTTTTCTCAAGTTTTAAGAGTTTATTTTTATTGTTTTTTAAGCTAAATATAAGAAAAATAAATATATTTGTAATTTTAGGGATTTAAAAATTGAGATTTAAAAATTTATTCGCAGTTTTGGCGTATTTGGGTCAAATACCGTTAAATAAGGAGCGTCGAGGGGGTTAGACGCAGAATTTATGAAACCACAAGGGAGTTTGACGCAATTTTTTTAAGTATGAGAGATTTGACGCAATTTCGTGAAACCACAGGTAGATTTTGTGCAATTTAGCCTTAAAATTATTTATGAAACTATTAATTAGTTGTGTAATTTTTATTTTTATTTATGGGATTTCCCTTCTTATTCAAATTAAATTATAAATAATATATATATGTTTGATGTTTTTACAAATTTAAAATTATTCACTTGTAGTAGCTTGTTTGTAATTCTTGGAAACAGTATTTTAAATAATTATATACAATTATTGAATTGTTTTATATATGCGTCTCCAAACAATTCATACAATAATAATCAATCAGATATTTTACATATGCATAATTAATTAGTAGATTATTTTTCATGGTAATTGAAATATTTGAATTTGTATATGTCAAATTTGGTGGGATGCATATATATATATATATATTATAACAATTTATGTGCTATATGTGACATGGGCACAAAAATACAATTAATACAATCCCTAGAAATTAAATTAAAATTTAGTTTCAAGTTTCGATGAGTTATCCAATCGTAATACTTTAATTTAATTTACAAAAACTAAAAATTATGAATGTGTTTGTTTGTTTTTTGATTAGGCATCATAAAATTAATTATATAATGATCAATAATGGGTGTGGGCGTACCACATTGCCAAGAAATCTTTTACCCAATAATAATAATAATAATAATAATAATAATAATAATAATAATAATAATAATAATAATGATGTGATGTATTAAATATAAAATTAATTTTTAATATAATATAAATAATAAATAATAATTATTTGATTTGATATTTTAAAATAATAATAAATAGTAAAATTTGGACAAATTTTGACAACGAAACATGTGGCCGCTCCTCCCCCTTCCTTTGTAACGGGCATTTTTATATTATTATTGTTTTTTGGATGATTTATTAGTTTGTACTTATAATTTTATTTTTAATTTTTTAAATGTTTATATGTTTATGTAAAAGTAATTGCAAAAATAAAAAATAAAAGCAAAAAAATTAGAATATGCACTGAGGTAATATTATTATTTATCATAATACTCTTGCATGAAATTATTTATAATTGTTGACACTTTGGGTTTGATTCTCCTTAAATATTATTAAAAGGATATAATAAATACATTTTATTCATTTACAAAAAGTTAGTAATTCAACCTAAAATATTATTATTATTTTTTTTATAATACCAATCAAATTCTTTATACACAAAATGAAGAAATACATTCATTAAAAAATATATATATAATGTACAAACCTATTATATTTAGGGTTTATAGTTATATGAATTTGAGTGGTACTTTTGTTATGAATAATTTTATAAAAATTTATCTCAAGTGAAAGTTTCTCAATGATAAGATAAGATTAAATGATAATAATTTTTAAATTATGGCAATAATATATAATAAGATTAAATGAGTAATTAATTAAATTTAATTATTTTCAGGTGTCATCACATCCCTTTACTAGGAAACTTTTATATATATATATATATATATATATATAAAGAATGTTCCATTTTTGGAATATAATTTTTAAGTGCAAAGGGGAAAGGGAAAAGAGGGGCAAGATTTATTATTTTTATTTTCTGTATTTTTAATTCAAAATTAGGTCAATCATTAGTGTTTAAAAAATGAAATTAATTACATGATCATCAACTTTATTGGACAAAAGAAGCACAATAATTAAACATAATTTCTGAATAACTAAAATATATTTCAAAAATTATTTCAAAGTAAAGGCCTAGGAACTAGGAAGTGTGTCACTATAGGACTTTTTTTTTAAAAAAATATATATATAATAAAGTATGTATCTTTATTTTTAGGGTGTGTTTGTTGGGGGGTTTGAATTTTAAGTTGGAATTTAAATAGTAAAAATTTTGAATTTAAATAATTGTATAATGCGATATAAATAGGTATTGATGTGATGTTTTAAATCTAAAATTGATTTTTAGGGTCCCGAACAAACACACCCCTTAGTTTTTTTTTTATCAAATACTCCCTATTCCTCATAATATGTGAGGAGGTTTTCATTATAATATATATATATATATTTATTTATTTATTTATTTTTAATAAATTTATCAATTTTAAATATAATTAATATTTGTTAAATATTTTATATGTGTGATTCATTCAAAATAATTTTAATTTTATTTTTTTTACTATATAAATATTTTTATTTAAATTTAAAATTCCTCATTTTTTTTATAAAATTAATTTACATTAATTATAATAAATAAATATATTTCTTTTGTCTAATTATATTACACCTATTTTATTTTTTTTAATTGTATATATTAAATTTTATTTTATTAATATTAACAACACAATTCGCAAAAATAAATAATAAACTAATAGCACAATCTATTATTATTATTATTATTATTATTATTATTATTATTATTATTTTATTAAATATCGTAACTAACTAAATATATCAAATCTTTCGTAATGAAGAGAGTATATAGTTAATTTAAAATATATTATTATTGACTAAAAGAAAAACCTTATTATACGCCAAAAAAAAAAAAAAGTTAAGTAAAACAATTCCCCTCCTAAGATTCTTCAAACCACTTGGAGTGTATTATCCGTTTAAATTTTAGTTGCAAAAAATAATTAATATTTAATTTATTATATAATATATGATTAAAATATTTTATATAAATATTTTAAATGAATATACCTAATAGGTAATATTTAGAAAAAAATATTAATTAATATAGTAACAATTTCAACGTAATTCCCTATCATTTATTTATTTAGTATTTTGATTTAAATCATTTTTTCATATAAAATATAAATAATTTTTGATAATAAAAAAAATATGATATATATAGAAAATTGTATAAAAAATAAAAATTAAAATTAAAAACCCTTCCATTTTGGGTTTCGAATGTTGTGCCCTAACTAGGGTTGCAAATTATCATATCATATCATTATCTTTAAATAATAATTAAAGATGATAAAATAAAAAATTTAATTAATTAATTAAGGAATATAATAATAACAACAATAATTATAATTATAGGTTAAAGAAAGAAACTGTAGCAGTCTACACACAGAATATCAGAAGAAAAAGATCTCTGCTACAACAGTACAACATCAGAAGCCAAAGGTACAACACTCAACAATTTGCTCATCATCATCATCGTCTTCCTCACCAATGGCGCAAAAACCCTAATTCAATTTTCCCTGCTCTGAAAATCACAGCGATGATCGAAAATGGAATCAAACAATCAGAGAATCAGTTTCAGTTTCCGTATCATCCCCACATAAAATATCGTCCAGACTCCGCATTTGACTCACCCCACTTTTCCGGCACTCCTCTTCGCCGGGAACCGGCAGCAGACCCACCCCCGCCGCCGCCGCCGTCATCTCCTTTGCCCGGTCCACCTCCGCCGCCCAATCCGTCCTGCACAGCACCACCACCATCAGGGCGGCGCAGGAAGCCTGCGCCGCCAGCAACCCCAGCCACAGTCCGGCGAACCCCAAATCGGCGACGAACCCCATCACAAACGCCGCCGGCATCCCCACCAGATAAAACGACCCCAAATTAATCTGCGCCCCCACCGCCGGCCGCGCGCTGCCCCGCAACACCCCGCAGCCCGTCGTCTGCGGGCAGTTCCCGAGCTCGCACAACCCGGCGATCGGCAGCGCCGCCGCCGTCAAATCGAGAATCTCCGAATCCGCCGTGAACAGCCTCCCCCACCGCCTCCTCATCCCCACCGCAAACCCCATCGCCGCCATCCCCATCCCCACCGCCCCCGCCATCCCCACCGCCGCCGCCGCCCGCGCCTTCCCCGGCCGCCGCGCCCCCAGCTCGTTACTCACCCTCGTCGACACCCCCAAACTCAACGACGACGGAAATACGTACACCAGCGACGTCGTTTGGATCAAAATCCCCATCGCCGCAATCGTCGATTTAGGGTTTTCCAGCAATCCACAAAGCATAATCATCAGTTCATACCACCACCACTCCAAACACACCGCCACACAATTCGGCACCGCCATAGCCAAAAGCTCCGACCAACCCCTGAAACATTCTCCGGTGACCCCAAACCCCGACTCCCTCCCCACCCCCGACCACCAAACATAAAAACACACCAAAACCACCACATTCAAATTCGTGACCGCCATGGCCGCCGCCACTCCCCCCACACCAAGCTCCAACCCCACCACCAGAACATAATTCAGCGGCACATGGATCACGACGGAGATCAAAGAACAGTAAGTTACCGGCAATGTGATCCCCTGAGCCCTCAAAAAAATCCTCATCGGATGGAGGACGGAGAGGAAGAACAAGTCCGGTATCGCGACGACGATGAACTCATGCGCCACCGACGAAATATCGACGTCCTGATTACACCAAACCAGGATCGATTTCATGTTCATCCACATGAACGAGATTGGGATCGAAGTCGAGAGCAGCAGCAGCACAGTCCGCTGGAGGGTGAGGCCGAGGAGGCGCATTTCTCGCGCTCCGTAAGCTTGTCCGCAGATGGGCTCCATGCCCATGGCGAGGCCGGAGATGACGGAGTATCCGGTGATGTTGGCGACGCCGATGGAGAGGGAGCCGCCGGCGAGTTCAAGCTCGCCGAGGTAGCCGAGGAAGAGCATGGAGATCATAGCTCTTGAGTAGAGTATGAGTCCTGTAATAGCACTTGGCCCGGAGATCTTCCCGATCTCTTTCAATTCTTGGATCACCTAAGTAATTGATTAATGAATTAGGTCAAAATCAAGAATTGAATATTAATAAACTAAAAAAGACAACTACTATACAATAATGTTGAAATTTTTTGATCAAATTAAGGAACCCTTTTCTTGAATGATTGATTATTGTGTATATATATATATATATATGTATATATGCATGTGGGTTTGTTTTGTTATATGTGTGTATACCTCAGAAGTGTTGGGCCATTTATGGAGGTGTGGATGATCATAGTTAGTGGGAGTGGGAGTGGGAGTGGGAGTGGGAGTGTTCATGGATTTGATGAAATGGGGTTTTGGATTGCACATACTTTATTACGACACTTCTTGATCTGCTCTCTCTCAAGAAACCAATGTCATGTAATGTTATTACAAACACTACAAAGATATATATATATATATAGAGAGAGAGAGAGAGAGAGATGTGTGTATATATAGGGTAATGGCAATGAAAGAGTGTGTTGGGAGAGGAGGGACAGAAATGGAGAAGCCAAAGGGAATATATGTAATATTTATTTATTGTTATTATTATTATTAAGAATCTTTTATTTATTTATTTTCGTGTTGGAACAAACAATTCGATTGGGAGATGGCTAGCTAGCTAGCTAGGCAGGCATACAGTTCACTGTGTGTGTATCTATCTATGAGTACACGTGTCGGCACTGTAAGAAACTTAATTTGGTAATACAAAGTGGGAACTGTTCATTGTGGGGTGGGGGTCCTTCCCATTATCGTTTCGTTTCTCCCTCAGTTTGGAATTCTTGGGGATGGGGTGAGGTGTACACAAAAATTATACTATCGTTTGTCGACTGTTTACATGTAATAATATCTTCATAAATATTACACTAATACTTATTATATATATATATATATAATAACTAAATTCTATTATTCTCCAAAATTTTGAGAAACCTTGTCTACTTCGGTTTTATTTCACATTTATTCATCAAACTCATTCCCAAGAAATATACACTAAAATATAGTAGTAGTATATGATAAGAATAATAATATGCCATTGGCTAACATTTGTCAGCTTTGACAACAACACTACACTTTTAAATAATGTGAAATTGTGTAGTTGATAGTGGTGGACGTGTGTTTCAGTGAGATATATACATATATATATTTAAATTTTAATTGAAGTTTCTCACAAGCATATGTATATATAACAATAATAGGGAGTGATTAAATAATTAAATTAGCTTTCTAAGTGAAAGATTATTTGTGGGGTTGGCATTAGTTTTTAGCCTCCCATTAGAGATTTTTATTTTTCTTATCTTCTGTGAAATGGTGTGATTTTTTTTTTTTTTTTTTTGTCATTCTTGGTGCATGCAAAAGGGATAATCTTTTTAAACTTTCACAATGGATTTTACCTGTACTGCCCTTCTCTCTCTCTCTCTAAAAAGGGTATCTTTAGAGAAGCAGCAATCCAAATCCAATTCCCTCTACTTGTAGTTGCTGCTGTGAGGTGACAGAGCATGTTGATATATAGTGTGTATGTGTTCATCCCCCTGCAGACCAACCAAAAGCATGTATATCATCAATATATACATATAGATACATATATACATATATGCACACACACACATTCAGAAGAATAAATTTTACAAAAGCAAGTATGGCTATGGGGGATTGGAGAATAGGGAAATGTTGGGATATCACAAGGCAAGCATGTCATATTTACAAATATATCCTCATTCATTTAGAGAGAGAGAGAGTAGAGTGAGAGTCACAGTGCATGTGATGCCCTCTCTCCTGATTGGTTTCTAACAGCCAAACATATCTTAGCTACTTGCCCATTTTGTAAGGGCACAACTTCATCCATAAAATCACCTGTCCTTTAGGCCCCATCTTATTCTTGGTTAGACACATACACATTTTACATTACATACCTATTCTATATGTGTATGTATGTATAATCAATCATCTCTCTCTCACTAGGCTCTAGGAGGGGGGTGATTATGGGAGGGTACATGGTCCTATTTAAAGGTACATGAAAAAGCCAAAATATCTTCTTTTGGAACCATTTAGGATGTAAAACTGACTGACAACAACATGTATCCAAGAATTAGCACTAATATTAAATCACCAAATCCTCATTCACTCAAAGCCATAAACAGGTGGGGTAGAAAAGTGACCTAAAAGCAGCAACCAAATCTCTCTCTTCTGCCCAGTAGTGAAAAGAAAGTTTTGTCACACACACATAGATACATACATACACATATATATATACATATACACATAATTATAATAATAATAACAAGATAAGGGACCACCATGATTATCAGTAGAAGAAGATGAGACTGTATGAAAAACCAACAACAAGAAGAAGAAAGGGAAGGAAGAAACAAACCAGTTGAAAATGGATGACTTCCCAATCCCAACTACGTGCTGGATTCACTACCATTTAAATTGTATCTCCTTTTCACAGCAAAAGATCAGTGCCCTCAAAGTGGGGGCCTTATCCCACCCCCCCTTGTGGCCTCTGCAATGCCTGTCTCTCTCTCTCTCACTCTGTGTACCTGCAAAATTTTGTAGCCAATGCAACAGAACACAACAGAATATATCCCCTTCATGAATCATGATCATCTTTTGAAATAACAAGAGGCACTGAATGTGTGTATGTATGTATGTCTGATCATTTTTGCTTTTGCCCAAGCCATATTCTGAGAAGAAAACTACAAAACACTTATTTACAAAAATAAATGAGTTGTTTAATAATTCTGGAGGAAGGAAATGGATAATGATTAACCCGAGGGAACGTGTCGCTGTGTCAGCGTATTTCCGGCTCAACAAATTGCCAGCCGATGATGGAGAGCTTCGCGTGCTTTGGTGCTGCAGAAAATGTGTTAACAGTGGTGTCAATACCTGCTGCTGCAACATTTTGGTTTTGAAAGTGCACATTGTATTATAGTAAGAAGATGAATTTCATTGTAAAAATTGATATGAAACTGTGTCATATTCTTCATAAAAGAGTTCGATAAATCACGCAGTACACCACATTTTCAGAATGTGAATATCACTAGTAAAATTTGCTGATACATGGTAACTAAATAAAGAAAGAACACACTACAGACAATATGTTCTTTTCGTTTTAATTAATTCCGAAACTCCAACTGAGTAATTTCCTAAAAGGTTTTTGGAAGCCAGCAAAATGGGAAACAGTTTTCAGTGTGTCCTACAATCACAGCATAAGAAAATTGCTTATTCAATGCATTTCATTACATTAGGCATCAAGAAACAGAGAAACCAGCCTTTACAGTTACTGATAATGCAATAAACTCAAGAATTTATTCCAAAGATAAGATGCAAATTGAAGAAAAGAATGCTGAAAAGGAGACAAGTCATAAAAATCTAACCCAAGCTTTTCGAAGACAATTCAGAGCATTGAAGCATGTACGTCGATAAGGAACGCAGTAGGGTTCACAGAATTGAATCCAGCTACCAAGAATAACTCATTCCCCAGATAATGCGCAAATTGTGAGAGATTCTATGGGCATAACAGAATTGCATCCCTAATGGCCATACAGAATTCCCAAACAAATGGCATCTTCATTCTTCAGGAATAAATCCCATTAGTTGTAGCTCATCATAATATTGAAAAGTCGAACTGAAAGGGTGATGTTAGAATCAAAGCATGCAAAGCTTACAATTATATTTCACTATGCATAGTGATACAGTGTTGATTTAAGAGAAGAAAAGACATAAGGTTTTTTTTATTATTATTATTCTTGATAACTTCTAGTATACACTAACAAGTCAGCCATCATCTTCATCAATTAGGCATCTTTTATAGTTTATTAAGAACTTTATTCAGGGTATTCTCTCAATCATGGGCATCAATATCTAAAGGAATCTTTTGTAATTATAAAGTTTATAAATCCATAAACTTCAAGAAGAATGTGGAAGATAGGCAACAGACCTATGCTGGAGATTTCCGAACAGGAAGAATAGTCACTACGGGAGAATATTCATCAAGAAATTTTATAACAACAGTACTATTGTTCCATCTGAAAATTCTAATTGTAATGCATCAATTTATATATTCAGTAGCAATTAATATATGGACTATTCGACCAAATTAACACCGCACAAAGTTCCACTTGATTAAGATTAAAAGTAAACTTCATTATTTGTAGACAATTGCTCAATAGCTTACGTGATAAGATCATAAGCCATTGGACTACTTGGAAAGAAAGTGTTACAAGTTCTCATAGTTCCTATGACAGTGTAAGTTCCTTTTGTAATATTTACTAGGCATATCGTTACTCTTATTATCATTATCATCATCATTACTGTATTTAATTACATGTTCTTCAAATCAGATCTACTTATAATTCAGTAACTCAACAAGTCAAACACTTAAGGCTGGTCCAAAAGTAAACTCTTAGCTTCCCCATTTTCTATCTATCAAAAAGATCAAAAAGGTGAAATTAAAATCAGAATTGGAAAGATAAATACGCCCAGCACTACCCCTAAAGATGCATATGGCAAAGTAGTCGACACTGTTGGTCACACATTAAGACAAATCCTGTGATCAGTTGTATTTAACTTGTTTAATCATTTTTAACCGAAAAAATTATCAACCAGACTTTCTATATCCAATCCTTACACTAGATAACTAAGAAGTCCAGGAGAAAAAAGAGTGATTGGCAATGTTGCTCTCATCAGATCGATTGCTGAAACCCCAAAACCTGCATGTAGATATTAAATAGAAGAAGAGTGTTAACCAAGAACACCCGGAAATTGATTGCAGCAATTAATAAATGTGATGATATCTACAATGAGCAAAGTTGAGAAGCACACCTAATGCCTGAAATCAAGCAGAATTCTCTAGAGATTATCGACAGAAATGACAAATCAAGGCCTTCAGATATATTAACCTAGAACCTTTTTTTTTTTTTTTTTGGTAGTGCGTTAGTCTAATACACAAGCTCTAACAAAATAAACCGGCTCATGAAGAAATTAGAGATGGCAGAGTGTTTTCCTCATTCAATAGCTACTCTCTGAGCACATCAAGGTTCTTAAGAGTTCAGGTCATAAATCTTATTGTACTGTAATTTGAATTGTATGATTTTGATATTGAGACTTAGAACAACTCAAATTCCTGTTTATCCCCAATTTACCTTTCATGAATCCTAATTATGGATCCTGAAGCTTCCAACCCATTGTTCTAGGAATAGCAAAGATGGATACAAACACACTATCATATGCAAAAACTGCAGCAACAAGAAGTACCTCAAAATTTTCCTTACCAAATGTTTGATCACATTCTCAGGACCAAGCTAAAAATGTTTATTAACCTTTAACAAACTGGAAGATCCTCTGAAAACTGAAAAGCATAAATAAAAGTAGAAGATAACGCCATTTTCGTATAAGCTATTTATAGCCATAAGCAAAACCCGGAGAAAAACTGTATGCTCATATAGCAATATTATCAGAGATGGACATGTTATGCTCTAATGGCTGCCTTAATAGGTAGAATACAAACAAGTTCATTTTGTTTCGGAAATACAATATCCAGCAGAATTGAAAGCATTTCAAATAAAGCATAGCCAGTCAATATTAAGCCTAATTAATGAACAAACATTCATCAAAGGCCGTATAAGGGCACAGAGCTTTCAGAAATCTTATATGGTTAACATCACTTCTCAAGTTTCGTATACGCCTTCGATTGAACACCAAACAGTTCTTACAACAGACTGCGCATACGTATACGTATCCAAATACACAGGAATTGATGATCGCGCAGTGGATGAGCAACCAGTCCACGAAATGGCGCCGCACCTAAACCGTACAATCAAGCGAGAACAATACAACCCCCTCGATCACCTAACCGGTCAATAATAACGACAGCGATGATTAAAGAAGCAGCTCCGGCCGGATAACTCGCCGGCTATGAAAGGACCAGCAGTCCCGACTCTACAGTCAGTTTCAGATTTTATGCGAAATGACGGAATCGCCCCTGAAATATGAAAAGCTGTTGCGTGAATAAATACGGAATATTCAGAATTCACTCCAACAATAAATTAATTGTTTTTTAGTATTTAAAATTAAATAGTACTACTATTTCATAATACGACAGAGCAAGTATCGAAAGGGAGTCCAAGGACCTCAACAAAGCGGAGAAATCTACACCGTTGAGGGATGAACTCAACGGTGGAGATTCACCTGGACCTTAAGTCCCGTGCGCTTCTTGAAAAACAACCTTGTTTCATCATCTTGTCCGATGCACCACCGCTTTCCCTAAATTCCATTTTTTTTTCCCTCTCAGAGCTCAGCAATTCTTAATCAAGAAGCAAATCGATGATCTGCCCACAGAATTGATCCGACAGCCATCCTTAAACCCCTAAGAAAATCCCCAATTGAATTCACCGCGGATTTGAAAAAGAAAAAACCCTAATTTACATATATATATATATGTATTTGGGGATGAATCGCCATAGGAGAACCAGCCATGGCTGCGAGCTCCACCTCCGCCTCTGCATTCGCTTCTTTCTATGGAGATTGGATTTCCAGGCACGAGGAGCTTCTACGGCGGCTGGACAGGCTAATTTCGCCGGAGGACGGCTTCGACCGGTGCCGGGAATGCAGGGAGATGATACCTACGGTTATGGCGCATTACCGCGAATTGTTTAGGGAGAAGGCGCGGCTGGCGGCGGCGGACGTATTTCTGGCGCTGTCGCCGCCGTGGCTGAGCTCTTTCGAGCGGGCGTTGCTGTGGATCAGTGGATTCCGGCCCTCGATGCTGTTTCCGATCGTGGAAGGGGCGGTGGCGGGGGAGCTATCGGCGGAGCAGCGGCGGCGGATGGCGGAGGTCCGGGCGGAGACGCGGCGGCGGGAGAAGGAGATCGGCGAGGCGATGGCTAGGGTTCAGGAGACGGTGGCGGAGCCGCCGGTGTGCGAGTGGCTGAGGAGGTTTGGGAAATCGGCGGACGGCGAGGTGTCGGAGGTGGGAGAGGCGATCGGAGGGCTGAAGGCGGCGATGGTGGCGGAGGTGGAGAATGCGGATGAGCTCCGGGGGTGGACGGCGGTGGAGGTGGTGGAGATTCTGGGGCCGGTGGCGGCGGTGAAGGTGCTGGCGGCGGCGGCGCGGTTTCAGTTGGAGTCGCGGAATTGGGGGATGAGGAAGGATTCTGAGAGAGAGGGGATTTGATTTGAGCCGTTGGATGGTTTTGTCAACTTTAAATCTCAGTCGTTGATGAGTCGACTTCTTGCGCTGGTCTTTTTATTTTCTGCTTTAAGGAAAAAAAAAATGAAAAAGAAAGGAAGAACTACTAAAATACTTATACCGAATAAAATAATTATGTCGTTTAAAATTATGGTGTTACATGATATTATTATTGTTATTTGCCTAAATTGCACAAATTCTTGTACTTTTAAAAGTGACATCAAACCCCCTCATGTTCATAAATTTTGAGTCTAATTCCGTCTTATTTAACGGTATTTGATTTTATTTAACGGTATTTGACTTAAATACGTTCAAATTGCGAATAAATTTTAAAATTTCAATTTATAAACTCCTAAAATTACAAATATATTTTTTTATATATATAAATATACTTAAAAAATAGTTATTTTTGTCAGATTTTAAGAGTTTATTTATTTACAATTTGAGCGCACTTGAGTCAAATATTATTAAATAAGAACCGTCGAGGCGGTTAACCTAAAATTTATGAAATTATAAAGAAATTTGACGCAATTTTATAAATATAAAGAATTTGACGCAATTTTGTGAAATCAGAATTTTGTACATTTTAATTTTGTTATTTTAATAGTGTATATAATTTTGCTATCAATTTAATCCCTGACAGAATCACAGAATATATGTTTAGAGCACAAGCAGTGACCAACCTGAGAAATGCCTCCCTCCGCAGTGCTCCAATATTGTTTGGCTCTCTTTATGTATTCTGTGAAAGTATTTAAACACGGGCGTGTTTCCATTCACAGTACTTTGAAAACACAGCCTCATTAGCAGGTACACGCCCATGTTCTTATATCTTATTAAAAATACGGTCATATTTATAATGAACACGGCCGTATTTGTTGAGAGTTAGGTTTTGTTTTAAAATTCAATTTGTTAAACCGCGACAATTTCAAATGCGGCAACAGATGACACACCAGTTTTGCGATTGAAAAATGGTGTTGAAATTGAAGTCATTACGGTGGAAGGTTTTCGTCCTTCAATATGTTAACCAGTTCTTTATTTTCCGATCACCTGAAGAGGGCCTCTGACACAAAAGTGCAGCTACATAATTCAAATAGGAAGCCAAACCGTCACACAAATAAATAAATGGGCTTGTTCTTTCAAATTAGTTTTTAGTTGATATAAATTTTTAATATATATATAATAATTATATTTTTCAAAAAATTAATAATTTAATATAAAATATTAATTTTTATATTATCGATACAATTTTATATATGAAATTTTTTAAAAAAAAACACAATTTCATAACTTGTTTTTAGCATTGTCAAATTTCTCACACAATCCATTATTATATTATTAAATTTAAATAAATGTCTTCTATCAATAACATAAAATACTGATAAAATAAAAGTACATATACTTCTTTATAGCATATGAATATCTATATTAAATCTCACATATCACTTCAGATAATATAATGAGTTATGGCAACAAAGGGCTAATGTGATTAAATTAGCAAAATAATTTAATTTAAAACAATTAATATTTTATAATGTTATATAATTCATTTATTATGCAAAAATTAGAATATATCATGCCAAATAAAATTACATAATATATTATTGTGTAAATTATATATTATATCTTAGTATACAATCTGCTTATATTTTTTTCCCCTTTTAGTAAATAATAACAATAATATAATGTGAACAATAAAACTTGAAAGCACACATCACACATAAGTAATCACCTAAAGACCTAAAAAAAATACAACGCCACAATGCTACAAATTTAACCCTTCAGTAATTCTTTTTTCCTTTCTAAAACTTTAAACCCTCAAGAACTAAAAATCAACTATTTAAAAAAAAAAAAAAAAAAAAAAAAAAAAAAAAAAAAAGAGAAAAGAAAAGAAGAAGAAGACAAGATTATTGCTTACAGAGAAGACAACTACACAACACCTGAATATCACCAAAAATGGAAGAAGAAGAAGACGAAGAAGAAGCAACAGCACCAACCTTATCAACCAAAACCACTACACTGCAAATTCAGGCATCGGAGAAGTCTCGTCGACCGATTTCAACTTTGCCTCCAAGTATTCCGGCTGGCCGGGGGTAGTCACCGGAACTTACGCACGCGCTATCTCTAACAAGCAAAGGAAATCGAGGCAGCATAGCATGTTTAATGGGGCTTACTGTCTTTGTGATCTATGTTCTTGAATTCCGGCAGGCATGGTCACGTCACGTAAATGTGGCGCCGTGAGCTGAGGAATTAGGATCCGAGGCACGTAAGGAGGATGTGGGCATTCCGAGAACATCCAACGTTGACCTGCCACGGCTCCAAATTTATAAGATTATGTGTATCTACGGATATAGTAATAGATTCATGAATTTTACGTACTTAGGTAGAGATGTCTGAGCGCCAGATTGGTTCGCGAATGCGGTGAGTGGGCCGCGAAGATTTGGGTATTTGTTCAGAGCACTTTCAAGCTGAGGTGACGGCAACTGCGACCAAGAAAATGTACAGTTGGATTAAACTGTAGAGGTGAAAAAAAGTAAGGAACCGATCTGTTCGAGTAAAGATATTATTAGGACAATACCTGCAACAGTACGCGGAAGGAATGCGGCTGAGTTTGGGATATACATTTCAAGAAGCCAACCCATAGTTTAGGCAGTCTCCAAATCTGTAGAGATTTCAAATATGATTTTCAGTTTCACATTTTTATACAAAACCGGAATAGCGGCAGATTTCAAAGCGAGATCAAATACGGCATACCTGTCTCTTCACAAGTTTCGACAAAATTTCCATCACAAAGTCGACCTGGAATCAATGCAGACAGTAGAAATTGTACCGTAATGGTTTTATTTCTTTTCATTTCTGAAGAAAGTGGTACGGTGAGAGGTTAACTTACCAGTGCTGGAAATGCATCAATCGATTGTATTACAGTTCTCATATAGAGCAGCGGAAGTGGAGTCAGATCGACCTAATAATGAACACAGGGACAAGTCAGTTCGGTTATGGCAGAAATGTAAGCATTCTTGCAACATGTCGAATAAATACCATTTGGCTTAAGGCCTTCATCAAGACTTGTTGTGTGAAAACTGTCCGTTGTTCGAAACAAGCAGAGCAAGCATCTGTGATCTGAGCATCGATTACATTATTAGATTAGAAGTAAGAACAGTAACAGATAAGTGCGTCGAGCTTCAGGAAGGTAGACGAATTCGATAGAGGGTTAGGTAAACACCTTTTTGAGTGGAACGCCATCCCGCTCGGGGGATATTTCATGGATTGCAACCAATACTTCTACAGGTGTTAGTGCAGGACCCGTATGAGCAGAACCCTGAAGTGAAAAGCAGACGTCAAACCATTGGCAACAGTAAGACCAAATTTTAAGCTGTGCACGATTCCAAATATTCTATGCTCGCTTACGGTATCCTCTAATATCAGACAAAAATATACGAAGATACACAAATTTGGTAAGATAGTTTCCTTGTCTGTATGCTCGTCGGGGCTTGAGGGCCGTTCTAGATAAAATTTATCCATGCTCGAGGATGTAAGTGTCGCCTATTGCTCTCAACTAACTATATTTACTACATATTATCAAACAAAATTCATAGAGACATGAAGTTGTATCTAGAGAAAGGATGCCTGCTTCTATTATATCTATAACCATCTACCCGACAAAAATGAATTATCCCATCTACTCAGAACAGTTTTCTTAGGAAATATAATGCTGAGATGTTAACAAACTAACATAACAAAATATACTTAGGTATCCATAAGTGTAGACAGATTTAATGCAAGATTTTAACTCAATCACCACACAGAGATCAAACACCAATCCAATTCAAATTATAGAATATATACAGACCTGTAAAATATGAGCCAGCGCTGTCTGGAACTTATTCAATGGAAGCTGGACAAGCTGAGGGAAAATTGGTAAAACCTGATACCACATAATACAAAGAGCTGCTATTCAAAAACACAAATAAATGTTTTGACTTGACGACTAAATAACTATTTTTCTGAATTGTTAAGATAATTTTCCGGTGAAAAACAAGTTTTTGTTATTTTTTTTTTATAATGCAATAGTTGTTGATAAATACATGCCTCGCCATGGCTAGTGAAACTACTCTAGCATCAGAGTGTCACAGAGTGCATAGTTATATTTTTGTACTATCTGGCATTAGACTACAGTGAGGAATGTTTATGAAATGCATTTTAGCAGTTGCATCTTCAATCCAGGTGTATAATTTCCATCGAGAAAATAATTTTATTTAACCGAGCCACAGCACTGACATAAAGAAGTAAATTGTGTTGGGCTTCAAGGCTAAGCATGCGAGCATAAAATACTGATAAAAAAGTCATCTTGCTAAAATACTAAAATGATCACCTCATCTTTTGAAAAAGCTGATAGAACCGGAATAAGAATACTTGCATCCTGCAAAAGATATTTCCAATTCAATAAGAAAATTATGAGGTAATAAAAAATAGGGGGAGAAACACAAAAAGGTGAAAATTTAGAACCTTTAGTCTGGAATTATACAACTGTCTGACAGTCCCCACTAAATCAGGCGATGGTGTAATCCCTTCAGATAATACATTAAGAACCTTCAGGTAAAACCAAAAACCTATCAGCATTTGGAAAAGATTGTTCATGAAGAAACACTTGGAGCTATTTCGCAAAACTGAGAATACTGGCATAAATGACCTGAATCAATAAATCTTCACTGCCAACTGGTGGATTAGATATTATATGTAGCACCTCAGAAGATGATGACCCCAAAGCCCTCACAAGAACAGTAATGTGACGATGCACAGCCTAAAATAAGGATAATGTAGATGCACCGTAAAAAATGTGAAGTAAACTAAACTATAGAAAAGGAGAGCAGCATATTAAAGAAAATATAATATTCCTTGTAAGAAAGATCATAAGGTATCCCCTGTCAAGTGAGTGAATTCTTTTTGAATGGATCTACCAAGCATGTATGTATTCAACCAGACCAAAATCATCAAGACATGATGGATTTTGACAAACTGATAATTAGACAGAATTACAGAGAACAGATATCCACAGTGCAAATGGCAAATAAAAGATGGGGAAATCCAAAATCCAGGACCTAAAACTGAGGGAAAGCTAAGAATAAAATACATGATGACTATCAATAGCCTAAGTGATCAGCAAGGGTGTACGTGGAAAAAATTCTTGCTTTCTATCAAGGAAAAGTGGACATAACCAGAAAACACCCATACACACAAAAATTCTGAACACAAACAGGACAGTTCTTGAATCCAGGCAAGTCAAATGATATACCTCCAACACTCTGCACATGTGTAGATAAGCAAACACTTGGCTCATTACACTAACAAATAATGAACACTTAGCTCATTACACTTATTACATGTGTAGATTGAACTCTTACCTAACAAAATCACAGCCATACACATTCTATTCATATAAATTATGGAAACCGAGACATCTCATAAGTAAATTTAAGGGGCTAATAGAAATGTTTTTGTGAAGTTCAGAAGCTAAATATGCACACCTGCTTAGCTGCATTGATGGCACGAGCGTAATTTTCAAAAACCACTTGCAAGAGAATTGGTTTCTACAAGAAATCAAGAGTAATATTAGCAAGGACAGTCGCACAAAATAAGGAAAAGATGCACAATATTATAACATCACTTATTAAGGTGGAAGTTACCCAAACCTTTGTGCATAGTGCAAAATACAATGACATGATTCTATAAGCTTGAAGGGATGAAACTGAAGAATCATTCGAGGAGGCATCCTGTAAACTCTTGCTAGCTTCATTTTGAGAAATTTCAGGAACTGAAACTTGAGAACCACTTATTGATGTTTCCATGTTTTCTACCTGAAATGATATTGAACAGGCAGGAAAAATTAAGACAACACTCATAACAGAAACATTTCCATATTCATACGCTAGCTAATCTCACACAAGTAAATAGAAAAACATTTAAAGAGAACCGGCATATAGCTAGTGTGACCATACAAACTAGCCAAACAATAAAGAAGACATAGATCCTATCACTCAAGCTTGACCAGAAGTACATGTTCACAGACATGTTCAAAGAATCAAAATCACACATAACAAGCGAGATAAAGACTACAGTGCTCAAGCATGAAAATTGAAATGGGTATATGAAACCATTAAGTGATATAATAACAGGAGACTAGCAAGTGAAGTACTAATGAAAAGTATATATATACACAAGTAACAAACATGAGACAGGTCAATTAAAATTTCTATTTAAAAGTGTGAAGCAACAGATTTGTAGATCACCCTTTAAGTAACTAATAATGTTGGTAGTGGTATAAATGTATGACAACACTTTACCCACCTGCCCGGAAATTCTCTTATCAGAATCAGAAGATTGTGAAAGCAATGACTCTGCAGAACGTTGATCTAGAGCTGAAATGAACTTATCAGTTGCAAATTGCTCAATACTTTCAGAAAGGTAGCTAATAGAATATAGTTTGTTTGACACCTGAAACAAACAAACACAGGTTTGAAATATGTTAGAATATAAACAACGGGTCCTGTCAATAACATCCAGATATAATGCATCCTTGGAATGCAAAAATTAAAGATAAATATTCTCTTACCAAGCGTATAGATTTTGCTCGAACATCATCCTTCGGGTGAATAGTACACTGTCATGGGGATAATGCAAAAGTAATAAGAGATCATTTTTGGAACAATTTAAACTGCCAAGAGAATACAATTTCCAGACTTTTGATTTACATAGTACTTACATGAAGATTAATGAGGTACCAACTATTTTTAATAGACAATGGGATAAAACACGAGACTTCTGATTATGAATCTATACTAGCAAGACATAACTAAGCTTAAACCTAAATAATGTAACACAGGACTTACTGAAAACAGGAACTGATAACAGACCATTCAAAAAGAACTTAAGCTTGACAAATTCCATCACCTTAAACCCATAAATAGCATTCTCTTGTACTTGATCCCATTTATTTTATCAATCTCATAACGCAAAGTTGAATGGTTGACTCTTGACTAAACCTCCCCTTAAATCATATAGCATTCTGTTCCTAGTAAATTTCATTGTTGGAAGATGCAAAATACAAATAACTGGATAATAATGTCTTTCAACTGTTAATAAATACTAGTCAGAAAATAATTCAACAATAGACACCAGACACTTATTCCAAAAAATTTTATTTCTTTTGATACTCTATGAAGAAATTTAAGCATATCACGATCTGCCAGATGAAGCATTTTGGCATCAGTCAAGGAGAAGAAATGAAGAATAATCACCAAAGCCAATAAAAATCAATGAAACTTCAGGACAGAGTCCACATAGTGATGTTGTTAAACAAAGTGACAAATGCCAAAAAGTTGCTAGCTGGAGAAATTCCAGGCTAAAGTACCTTCAAGGCTATATTAAGACATGCTTGACGACTAGGTGGCCGACCCATAATCAAGCTCCACACTGCTCCAAGGCCCTGAGTAACTCGATCTCCACCACGACCATCGGTTGTTGAATGACTATTGGTACATATATCATCAAGCAATGCCAACACAGAATCAGGCATGCAAGGAACTTCACCAAGAAGCCTACTGAAAGACTTGTCCGATGCTGGTAAATTAATTAGCAATGATTTTGCCTGCAAGTGAAGGTCGTTTATTAATAGGTCAAGGACAACAAAGATATAACTAGTTATTAAATTCCCTACCACCCCTAGAAGAAGTCTCTCGTATACAAGGGCGGCATTTGATTGTGAATCAGATATTACAAGGCTGTGAAGGTGGTAAAGGATACGCATTATGAGCTCATGTCCCTGATAATTTCAGTACCAAAAGGATACAATGTCAATTTAATATGCTATCATTCAATAGTAACAAACAAATCAAATACTGTCAATAATAGCGAAAGATATATAAATGACACGTACAAAATAAATGTTCTAGCAACATCAAATGCAAAGTAAACGTACAGATTGATGAGTAAAACCTCACACCCCTATAATTCAAATCTTTATATCTTTGGGTTTTGAATTGGATGACTACAAAACTTTAAAGATATTTGAAGCGATACACTAACTAAAGAACACAAAAACTAATGCTATAATATATTTCTAGGTATACACACGGCATAAAATATTGTTAAGGCCAATGCATATAGAAAGCATCCCTGTCAGCATGCAGATCAGATCTCTACTCGTTTAAGTAATATTTGAGATGAATATCCCTACTGAATAAAGAACAGAGTCTTAAAACACTATAAAATATTGACAAGGTCAACATGCAAAAGAAGACATCAATGTCAGCATGCAAATCATTAATCAGAACTTGTGCTAGAATGGGATTAAGTTAGATGGAGGGAGGGAGCAAGAGAAAAAGAGAGACCTTTTGCTGCTCATAATCTGAAACAACACGGTTTTGCACCATTCCAATCACATCGTTGATATCAGTCTACAAGGAAAGAAAAAAACAGAGCAATATTAAGTACAATATCTTAAATAGAATGTACATCAAATTGTGCAATGTTCTTTCCATTAAATGAAAGCACTTGTCTAGGTAAAAAAATAGACACTAGACATTCACAACACATTTCATATTTACATTCTCAAAGTACTAGAATTATAACTTTGGAATGTCATTAACAGCTCAGAGTAGACCAACCAATAATCAAATTGATAACCATGGAGTCATGCAGTATCCAACAAACTACAAAGTCTTCATTCTTAGGTTAATCATATGATAAATGTACTATGCCTACACAGTAATTCAATCCCAATACTCCACCTACCACCTCTGAGGAAATCTTAACAGTATAGCAAAATGTGCAAGGCCGTGCAATGTCCATACCCCAAGACATTCGGCTTATCGTTGGTTTACTTCCTAACGAACTCATATATGCTTTGGATGGATCGTGTACTTTAGTGTATTTATAGTGACAACTAACAAAATCCAATCCTGTTTTGATATTCAATGATCAACCACAATCAATTGGATATTTTCGTTTAAATGATATAGAGAATAGCAAGTTTGGCTTCCTGATGTTTTTGATGGCATGCTTGTTACCCATATGTTATGATGAGAGACTTAAATTTAAATGTTACAATGATTTCCCTGACAACATAAACATCACATTAGTTAAACTGTAAAACATGTCACCACAATCACAAGAAAAGGAGCAGCACATTTCAAAATGAATATAAATGCACTGATAAGAAAACAGTAAACCGTATATATACCAGTCATAATTTGTGAATTAACAGTATAACTACTGCCATTAATTATCTTGTACAATGTGGCAAATTATTCTCAAACATAAACTTTAACAGTTTAGAAACGAAGATCCTCACTAATAAGTTGGAAAACCAAAAACAAGTTACAGAGTGAAAAATAAAAGAATAAAAAGTAACTAACTCTGCAAGACGATTAGCTGATGAAGTCTTATACCCTACCTGTCCAAATAACCGAGCAACCAAAGCGATTTGCACTTGCTTAAAATCCGTTCTCTGTGAGTTCTGAAATGAATTAATTATCCGTTCAAGCGCCAGTCTGCTCACATTTCTTTGTTGGTTTTCATCTAGGCTGATGTACTGGGGAAGCATAGGCAAATCTGAAGGTGCGCTCTCAGTTCCTTCAGCATTTGAAATATCTTGTGGAAGTTGGTCTTCTTCTTGTGACGATGGGGAATATGTTTCATCAAAAACAGTAGCATTCACTGATGCCAGTGGAACAGTGTCCTCAACTTTGCCAATAGGCGGTGGTGGAAGATGTATATCTGTTTCCTTATCAGGAGCAAATTCATTGGTTTCTATAACCTGGGCTTCATCTTTCAGGATTGACTGATCGCCTTCTGATGCTACAGGAAACTCTGACAACTTTAAGTCCACCTGAGTTGTGGGAGTTGGAAATTCAGATGTTCTATCAGAAATATTAGGCATAGGTGGCAAAACAAGTGGACCAGAGGGGCTAGTAGCATCAACATCAGATTGTACAACTTTATGTAGGGAAGGATTGGCATTATCTTCCAGAAGAGGCAGTTGAGGAGCATCAGCAGGAGCTGCATTGCGCCTTGGGTCAAGGCGACGAGGGTCCTGGAGCATTTATAAAACATTAAAAAAAATATCTGGAAATAAACTAAATGAGATGACAACATAAGTACAAAATACTGCAGATGTCTCCTATTGAAAAACCTTACCCTTCGTGGATCACGTTTTGAATCTGTTGAGGGATTAGGGGAAGTGGATGAATCTGAAATTGGAAAATTTGATGTGTTTGCTGAATATGCAGGTCCTTGAGATGAAAGGTCCACAGCCTGAGAAGTTGAAAAACCATTTGACACTGATACTTGTGCAGGATCAATTGAAGGGTCAATGTATTTTGTAATGTTAGGTGGATTCGTTGGCAGATGCTTCATATTTGTCATGACAATGTCAGCAAGTAAATCGGGATGCATGTTGGATATAAGAATTTCCAGAGATTTAACTCCCCTTTCGCCTTCAGCAATCAAGGCACCAATCATCGCAATCATCTGTTCTACAGGATTCAGATCCCCATCCATGACAGAAATATTAGAAGATATCCCATTGGGATGATCCTGTCCAGCAGCATTAATATTAGCACTGGCTGTATTGTCGTGATGACTGTATCTGAATCTCTTAGAGGTGGCATCAAAGTTATTGTTCTTATCTTCACTATCCAATGGAGTTGGCCTTTTTTTTGTGAAATCCCCAGAAACATACACTTGGTTGGATAGATGATCGTCCTGGAAGAGACAAATTACAACTATTGTAAATAATCAGACATCAATGATGAGTGTCTAAAGGCCTTCACTTTCTTTTACTAATACTACCTTATTTAATTGCTGCTCACGTGAAGCACGCTCATTGTTTCTAATTATCTTATCCGTTTGTCGAATAACTTGATCTGCAGCATCCCCAGCATTCATTGCTCGCAATTCTTTCACCAATCTCTCTCTTGACTGAAAAAGTACGAAATAAAATTTTTAAAAAAATAAAAAATCTACATATACTGTACTAGTGATTAAATTATTGTGTTAAAAGTAATTTTGCAAATTCAGTGGCATTGTGTATGTGGTGTTCAGGAGGTGAGTGATTCTTGTGAGATGCTTTCATGTATAAAACACATGACTGCTTTCAAATTGGCGGGCAAACCAAAAGTCACAAATCAATAACAGCGAGTTCTTAAACTAAAATTCAAGTCGTCCGATCAACTCTGGTAAAATTTCAAGCAGTTGCTTGATTTGTGTTTGAATTTTTTATTTGAATTTTAGTTTAAATAGTATTTTGATGTAATTTTTATAAAAAAAAATAATGTATTTTTATTGAAAACTATGTGAGCTGAATAATAAAAAAATTGGTGTGAATCACAAACCAAAAAAACTCATAATTTAAGGGGAAAAAATAAATATCCAACCATTAACAACCCAAAGCATCCATAGAAGAAAATATATTGTATCTTTGGACATACAAGCTCAATAATTTGTTGAGAGCTATCTTAGAAACCTATAAAATATAGAATGCACATGGTGGTCCCCTAAACATTTTTTACAGTACACTGTATGAGAAACAGCTGATCAGATTCCATCAATGAAGCCAATAGAAGCTGTGAACTTGTTAAATCTCAAACCTTCATTGTAAATTTATGCATGTAAACGGACTGACAAATGACAGACATATATTCATAGCAGTTTTGAGAAATAAGTATACCTCTGCAATTACAGGATGAAGACACCTCAGAAATCCTAGAAAAGCAGTTCTCAAAGAATACTGAATGCTGACAGCATGGCGACCTTTTGCAGTCTCTAGACTTGGACTAAACTCAAATAGTGCAGCCAGCACAGACTTGTAGTAGGCCGGCCTCTTGCGTGCAATAGCTGCAAGACTGCAAAGTAAAATATAAGTGATGTGTGTACATGTATGACAAAATGCACTAATTAAAGCTATTAAGTGGTTCAGCAGTTCAGACACAAAAGAATAAACTCAAGTTAGACTTAATCCAATGCAAAAAAGTTGAGCATCACCACACTATCCACTTAACCAATAATCCAAAAACATATATTTTCATATCACAATATCAGATACTTGTAGAACAAATATACTTGCTTCTTTGACCCAAGTTAAAGATACGGTCAATTTCAATTATCTGGCATATCAAATTATGAGCCTCATTGACACTATCGCCTCCCCACTGAGGTTTACAGATCAAAAGGCATAGCATTAAAACATAAACATTGATAGTGTATCCCTATCAAACAAGAAAGCAGTATGTGCAATGGAAAATCCTTATCATGCTTGCCAAAATTCATGAAGAAAAGTCGCCAGAAATAATTTTCAGCCACACAACAAAAACTTATAAAATAATAATAACAGTATCAAATAAATAAAAATAAAAATAGATAAGTATTGACAAAGAAAAACACCAAAGCAAATTCCTGACATGTACAGCAATCACCAAACTGGATCCCAATAGCCAGAGATCTATACACTACTCAACACTAAAAATGATAATAGATTAACAAGTTATATATACCTTTAAAATATATATATATATATATATAAGAATAATAATAAAATCCCAACTATATTTTGAACAAAATTGTCAAGCCTAATTTGCAGAGTATTAGATTCGGCTGGGGGTTTACCCAAAGCACATTCCAAGAATAGTGACTGCAGGTTTCCACATTATCCAAAAAAAAAAAATTGTCAAATTATGAACAACCATGACCAAAGATGTAACACAGAGCTCCTAATAAAAGCAACATCTATTGCACAGAATTTAGAGCACCAAACAACCATAATCATCATCATAGGCAAATACAAGGTATTACAGAACTGCTCCTAACTCTTAAGAGCTCTAACATCATGCATTAGCATAAAGTCAATCCACCTAGCGATTAATATTAATTTGGTTTCAAAAGATCACCGTAAAGTTGCCAGGTATATGAACCTGTCCACTAACCTTGGCAAAAAACTTCTCAAGGGACACGACAATATAACAAAAAATCATATAAATAGTGTGGAATGCTAGTCCATAAAGAAAACATACGTACACATACATATATACTAAAACAAATTGTTTTGGCAAATTAAATATTTATGAGAATTATGACTTTACCACCACAGTTACCAAATCACAAAACAAGAGCAACCCGATTCTCCATTAAATTACTAACTAGGAAATCCTCAAGAGCAAGTACAGAAATAATCAGACCAGGGGAACAGATTATTAATCATAATGGGAAATCAACCATTAGAAATAGTCAAAAACAATGGCACATTGACCTGAACACTCGAAGCTTTTCCCATACACCAAAATTCAGAAATGACCCAAAATAACAAACAAAAAATGGTTCAAACTACTTCTCAAAAGTTCCTTGATAATCACAACAGATCCTAGAAATCAAACCCCAATAATTAACACAACTAAGTCAAACGTGAGAACTAATGCACATTAATTATGCTTGACGAAAAGCATCTAGAAAAATAGTGTAAATGAAATATTCTGTCACCGCTCAACGCCCTTCTGCTTGAGTAAAATCCTTTTCAATTTGTAACAAACATCTACAAACTGAAGTCTTCAAACTACTGTACACAGTCAATCTGGAAAATAAACAAGAAACTACAAGCACAACCAAAGACTTAAGACCTGAAATTGTCAGCATCATGAGATCCTCAAGACCTTGGAGAACCAAACAAAATAACCTTGACATGTGACATAATCATTTCCCAAGTCCCAACTATATGCAGACACTAGTGATTGCATGAGAAAATCCATCCATAAAAGAATAAATTTACGGGAAAACCTACAAAGCTTCAGCAGTACATAAAAAAGCTAAAACCCATGCAATAGAGGCATCTGAAGCAGAGAGGAACTAGCAAATGAATATCAGATATAATTCGTGGCAATTTATGCAAATACAAATCCCAGGTTCCAGCCAAGAGGCCAAACAATGACGTTTTTACAATGTTAGCAACAGACCCTAGAAAAACACATTGGATACAGACAGGTGCTTTAAAGTATCATTTGGACAAACATTCTAGCTTGGTGATGCAAGTTAAGAAATATGATATCACAATAGGATTATGCTCATGCAAGCCATCATTAGTACATCGAAAAGTGTTTTCAATTCTTCATAGTTAAGTTTTATTTCAGCTCGCATCTAACCTGACTGCATACATGATCGTACACATAATGCATTCAAAGTGGAGCATGCGACTGTCAGACTTCGACCTCAAAAACTCACATCCTGACCATTTTCTTACGCGTGACATTGCACATGCAAATTAAAATTGGTAGCCTTCACCATGTTTCTATATTATACAGAACTACTAAACCACATTCAGAATGTGTCAAAAACAGCAGAAGCCCACTATTTACTTTATCAAAAAATTTGAGCTTTAAAAAACTGAGTTAATTCTGCTTCCAGTTGCATTTGAATTTGAATAGCACAGGATTCAGAATAGAAACAATAAGATGGAGTGACCAATCAACTGATGTTGTACAATTTCACATTTACGGTGATTGAATAAATTATTTAAATTAGACTTGATTTCAGAAATTATTTTTAAGGCATTAGGGCACAGGTTCGGAAAAAAATATTAAGAAACGGCAAGTTTGATCCCATCCCTCACTGAAAGCACTCACCTTTGAACATTGGAACATGTCGAATGACCAAACTAATTAAATATACTTTCAGAAACAAAAATAAATTGATACACTCATGCCCTAAAAGATGCTGTTTGGATTGCCAATTAATTTCTCCGGACGAGGAGCCTCACAACTTGCATTGGTTCATCTAGGAAAAAAGCAATGGCAGAAAGATTGGTGGTGGTAACTCAACTGGACCAAACCTTGTTGCAATAGAATTAATTAATAAAGAATGAACGTGTGTAGAAAAGCACAAAACGTATAATACATTAATAGACAGTATTTGCAGGCTGCACCTGCTGCAACTGTTGCTCATACAAAAGATGTGCTAAAACTGGTGAGATATTTTTGTATCATAAAACAAATGCCCTATGCAATAAGATGCCCTTCCCGGTGATTATTAGATTCAATAAGAAGTTATCCATAGCTTAATCAGTCCTATCAACCGCCAATGTTGACATCAGCCAACTCCTACTTCTCTTATCTGAACCACCAGTCCAGCATCCCCAGGAAAACTGCCGTTTACCTCCATGTTAAAAAGCTGGACGGCATGCTGCAACAATAGCACAATAAAGCAGTTGAACTCACACTATAACCAATGGCCAAACTTAGTGTCCCCTCTAAATATTGTTGGCTAATTTGTACAATGCACTAGGATAAAATATCCCCAAAGCAGTTGTCATAGAATATGTATACATACATATATGTGAAGCATTCCAATGGTTCATTTCATGAAATAGTGAGCCATGAACTGTTAAACCGGAATTGCAACCACGGTGTATTTGAGACTTGAGGTCATTAACAGAAAAGGTAAGCAGAGGGGAGCAAGGTTGAAGATTTTGCATATATTCCTGATACGAAGGCCAAAAAAGAGAGAGAAAAAAAAAATAGTCTCAAAGGTGTCAACAAATAATCATTGGCCTCACTGCCACTTTGTGTCCTAATTTATGATAAAACTTCAACTTTTTTCTTTTAAAAAAAAAATAAAGTTACTGTCGCACATATCTATCAAAATCAACAAGCAAGGCTACCCAACAAACAAATGTGTAATGTCATTACACATGCAATCACATCGTACACAGACTAAGCAAAAAGTAGCAGTTTGACATAACAGTAAGTGAAGCAAGTACATATGCAAAAGCACAGGCAATTACAATCACTAAAACAAGACCAAAAGTTGAACTGATTACAGAAATCTAGAACAGGAACAGAACATACTTTTAACAAGTCAATGATGCACAGAAACCATGTTGCACATGCCCACACTAACATGATTATTTACTAAGGGTTACAATATAAACACCTTAGATCCAATTGTAAGAAGGAAAAACAATGAACTGACTTACTACCATGATCAAATGTAATGAAATAGTTCAAACTGATATATCCCAGCATATATTCACAGAATTTCTTAATTATAGCAAGACAACTATATGGGTGAGGAAAACTATACTTCATTTTTATAGAAATTTAAAAGTTTTTGTGCCAGTGTTTTTCTTCACTCTGTTAGACCAACTTGACATTAAGAATGGTAACATGTGAGCAAAATAGAAGATTGATATGTCAAGCCATACTTCATACTTCATCGTGACAGCAATGAAATTTTTTATGTTAAACCACCTTCAAATTATAACAGGTAATGTGAGCAAAACAGAGAACTGACACGTCAGACACAGGCCTCTGGAATTAGCAGAGAAAGCTCACCTATTTACACAAGCAATTGCCAAGGAACCTGGTAAACTGTTGGCTGATTGCAACATATCCAATAAAATGGCAAGATACTGATTTGCATCTGACATAAGATGCGGTGGATCCAGAATAGGATGACCATCCATAATCCAAGAGACATTGAACAGCCTTCCTTGCTTTGACATTCCTAAAAGCAAAGAAGATATAGATAGGTAAATGCTGGGTCTCAAAACACTTATAAACTGATAGAGACACCTGTTACACAATGATCTATCGTGAATAGCCTCCAAAGCGAAGGTGGAAGGCCAAAGTCAAAGTCAATCAAATTTATTAATTAAATCGGTATACCCTCAGGGTTGCGCATTCCAAAATCGTTGGACTCCAAGGTGAAGAGTAAAACATATGTTTCCAGAAATTTTATTGCTAACAACTTTGGACCAATAGCACCAACCTGCAACAGCATATTGGTAACATAATTAATTCAATGGTCTAACACAGAAGAACAAAGGTAAAAAGCACAATTCTTCAATCAGAGAACTTGGGGTTTCTGCGTTTAGTATTTTGATTTGAAGATTTTTTTTTTTTATGTGAGGCATAGGGAATTGTGTTCGTAATATAAAAAATATTTTATGTTGAATGTTGATTTTTGTAAGAGGATAATATATATTAATATATATATATTGGGAATCGCGTCAGAAAGGACTTGGGCAAACAAACCCTTGTTTTGTACAAATTTTCAAGGTCACCAGAACTTAAGAAATGATACACAATCACTTTGTAATATAGATTATAGCATAATTGTAATTGGGGCGTGGTGACACAAGGCCTGTGCCATGCTATGGGAACACTCACTATAGATGCACATATATACAAGTATATAATAACACCTTCAACAAACCAAAATAATCATTTGAGCATCTTAATGTCAAAAGATATATTAAAATCCCCAATAATCTTAAACTAAAGAACAAAAGCATATTCCAAGACAATTCAAAATCTATATAATCAGAATTCTCATCATCAAGTCTATATAATATAACAGTAAATAAAACATGTCATATAAAATTAAAAAGATGAAAAAATCCTGCCCATAATTCCTTTTAGTTATTTAAAAAAAAATCATAATTAATCCAATTTGACCCTAATAAATAGCCATGTTATTATACACTAACGTTGGAATAAAATGCTGTTACAAGAAAATTTTACTTAAAAAAAAAAAAGTAACTATAGGCACACATAATTAGCTAAAAATGAAGACCCAAATAAATTTGTTTAAAACAAAAGGTTACTATTCCAGCAACTTTAAGCATACCTCAAAAATGATGCCCAAAACAGCATCCTTAAATTTGATCATCCAGGCCCACACCTCTTCAAGCCATCTCTCAACTATACCACGCCGTTGAAACTATAATGTTTAAAATATAGCTTCAAAGTTTCATACATATGCATAAAGACAAAACCAGGAATTCGGGGGGAAAGAAATAAGTTCCAAGAAACAAAGCCAAAGCTAACAACACAACACAAACTTTTTGAAAAGCTCAGTTCACAATTTCAAACAATAGATTATGTTGAACAATACCAAATGAATGAAGTATCATCATTTCACCTACTTTAATCCACATGGGCAGATATTTTTACAGTTCAATAGAATTTGAGTTCAGATCTCATGATTAATAAAACTATCTAGGCACAGAAGCTGAAAAGAGAAAAGGAAGCATGTAAGAAGGCACCACAAACTAGAACCGGAGTTTCACATGATTTAAGCATGTTGTGATGGGTGAAAATAAGAACAAGAGAAAATCATGAGGTTTCACATGATTTAAGTATGTCATATGATGCATGGAAATATGCACAAGAATAAACATGAACAAACTGGTGGTAAAACACATGGAACCGATGAGAGAGAGAGAGAGCGCATAAGATAAAGATAATAAGACACACACTTACATAGTGATATATACATAGAGAGAGAGAGGGGGAGAGAGAGAGAGAGAGAAACCTGATATACTAACTCTTCCAATACAATACAAAAAATTTTAGTGCCAATGGCTATAGATTGCTTAGCGATCACGGGATTGCTGTCTCTCAAAAATGTCAATAGGACAGGTAATAGCATGGATAGGTGCTCCCTTGTTTTGGACCCAATCCCATCAATCACCCTGTTAGAACAACTCGCATGAAATTAGCCGAATGAACACCAAAATAGCAACAAATGACATGTAATAATAATAATAATAATAATAATAATAATGTATGTAAGAGCCATGCATAGGTGTAAATCCTCAAAATACACAGGGAAGTAAAAAGTTTCATACAAGAACAACGATGGTTCTTCATAATTACCTTGCATCACAAAAACAAGATAATACTTCCAATGACCACAAGAGATCAAACGGAAGGGGTGGCGAAAATGAAAATAAATTTAGATAACCACAACAGATTATTTTTCTAATTAAATAACCCAATTCTTTTCAGCAAAGCTTATTTTGGTGTTTATCAGTTGTGGTATACAATCAGTTCACCTTATTAGATTCCGCGTAATTTGATATATTTATTTAAAGAACTAAGACTCTAACTACTACAGGCCGATTCCACTCAAGAATCCTTAGGTCAGAATAAATTCAGTGCAATCTAGATTGAAATATATATATATATATAAGTTTGTCTCTTACTCTATTTATCCATTCAAGAGAACAACCAGTCATCTTAAACGGAGAATTCTTCATGAGAACGAAAAGGGCATGCAAGAAAAAACAAAAAATAAATAGAACGCCTAAATTGCCTAAGAAATCAGTCGCCAAATACATGAAAATACAAAACATAACAATAACACAACTAAAGCGATCCTTCCAACCGATAGATTTCAAAAGCAACAAAAGAAAAAACAAAAATTCAAATTCGTGGGATAATTACTCACTCGAGTAGGTACTTTCTGACGAGAGTTTCCGGGGAGGACTGAAGGTCGAGCAAGTAAGGAAAAAGCTCCGCCGCTTGTGAGGGTTCGACGGATAGCAAAATGTCCTTAGCCTGTTTCAATGAGGATAACTTGACGGCCAAATCAGCGTGGTTGTTCGCCGCCGCTAGGAGTGGGAGCGCCTGCTCCCTGGGCGGGGCCCCGGCCATGTGCGAATTGAGCGCGAACGAGAGAGAGAATGAAGAAAAGCGAAAGAGAAGAGCTTTGATTGGGGAAAGGGTTTCTGATTAGGGTTTTGAATTGGGAACGGGAGGATGTACTAATATCCCGGGTGTGCTTGTTTGGGAGTTTCGAGTGTGTGCTACTATTTGTTTTCTTTTGTAAAATGATTTTAGGGTGTGTTTGTTTGGGATTCTTCCCCTATACATTATTTATTTTATTTTTTAAAAAAAAATATATCAAATCAAATATATATTTTTTATTTTTTATTTAAAAATAATTTTACATTTAAAATATCACATCAAATATATATTTATATCACATTATACAATTATTCAAATATAAAATTTTTATTATTCAAATGTCAATTCAAAATCCAAACCCGACAAACACACCCTTAAAGGATCCTCCAGTCATAAAGCGATTGTGATTCGATGTGATATTAAATTATTATATTAAAAAATGTAATATAAATTTTTAAAAAAAACAAAAAATACTGTAAAAATACTTTAAAAATATATAGACACAAATATAAAATATTTTTAATATAAGGTAGAAACTCCAAAAATTAAATGTGACATTTGACAATGAAGGAGATAGTAATATTTTATTAATTAGTTAAATTGATATTTTTTAAATTTTATATATAAAATTATTATATATGTAATAATATATTTGTAATTTATATAAAAATTAAAAGTATTTTGTCATTACTATATTATTATGTTTTATTAAAATAAAGAAAAATAAGAAATAGATACCTAAGTGGGAACAATGAAAATATATTTTTTACCAAAGGTTATAAAAATAATAGAAGGGACATGTCCATCTTTTTAAAAAAAAATTATACACTTTAATCACATATTAAATTTTTTAATTTACAATTTTTAAAATTTTAATTAAACTAATTAATTATTTAATTTTAATATAAAATTATTTTTATTATACCATAATTACTTTTATCAATACATAATTATTTATTAATTATACCTATCATAAATTCTTGTGTCTACGGTAAATGTCACTAGGAAGGAAGTATAAAAATAATAAATAGCGTATTTATCGTATTAATTTTGAGGGAAATTGTGTGTGTATTTTTATTTTTTGGCGAGCACATGAGCTCCATAGTGGCAGTCAGGCGCCTTGTATGCATTTCCACCCTCACATGACCAATTGTATAAAAAATAATTAGTTGGGAGACGATTTTCATATCAGCTCCGGGTAGTTAAAATTAATTTATTTTATAAAATAAATAAAATTTTAATTCTTCAGTTCTTTCATTTTATTTTTATCACGCCCCCAATCTTAAAACATGTCAAATTATTACTATTGCTCAACTGCTTGATCCACAAATTTTTCAAGTAATTTATAAACCCACATACGATTATAATTACAATGCATCAGCAAACTCAGCATCTCAAACTCAACGGCCAAAAAAAAAACACAATGCAAGAAGAAAAGACATTCTAAATTACCGTTAAAGAAGCACACAACTGAATACATATAACAGCAGCAGCAGCAGCGGCAGTACATTCTCTGCTGAAAGCAATGCCGCCGCCGATCGATCAATCGATCGACCGATCATCATCGATGTTCTTACAAAGCTAAAAATTGGGTCCGGCTGCCAAGATTTCATCGGTCAGCTCGTCGCCCGATCCGATCTTGTGGCTGAGGAATCCCTCGAAGTTCTTCCGGAAAAGTCCCCCGAGCTTCAAAAGAGTCTCCTTGTGCGCATTCTTGTCAGGCCACTTTATACGCAACAACAAAAAAGATCGATAGTATGAACATGTAGTATTCGAGGATGACATATATATATATATTGTTGGTCGACTCCATAACATATAAATAAAATAAATAATGCACAATAAATACTCTCTCCGTCCCAGTTCAATGGAAGCATTTTGGAATTTTGTGGTAAATTAAAAAATAATATTTTATTTGTATCAACTCAAAGTATCTTTTTCGTTCGTCGCACTCCAAAGTATAACTTTTTTATTTTAGTAAAAGTAATCATACACCAATATCAAAATACCCTTAACTTTTGCCTAAATTACAAACATATCATACAAAAATGTCAAAACATCTTACACATTTCAACTAACTAATAAAATACAATTATTTTTTAGTTTACTACAAATCCCAAATAGCCCCTTTAGACCGGGACGGTGGGAGTAATATTCAATTAGTTAGTGAAAATGTCAAATAGTTTTTACTATACAATGGTACCTTGTAATTGAAATAAAAATTATAAGTATTTTGGTATTAATGTATAATTACTTATAAAAAGTGATACTTTGAAAGAAATTGATGCAACGGTAAAAATAGTATTTCGGGGAGTATATTCTTTAAAACTTAAGATTTTCGGTGAGATGGCCAATTAATATGTAATGAAATCGAACTTACCGAGTTGGCGGGATCGAGTATCTCCGAAGGGACACCCTCGACTTCGGTCGGAATCTCGAGCCCGAAGACGTTGGTCGTCGTGTAGTTCGCTTGCAAGAGCACTCCCGAGTGTATGGCGTCGATGATTTTTCTAGTATACGCCAACTTGATACGACTCCCCGATCCGTAGCTGTTGACAAAAGTTACGAGTGGATGTCGCTTATATACATTTATCGAGTCGGAAATCGAAATACGAGGTTCCAATCGTACCTCCCGCCGGTCCAGCCGGTGTTCACGAGCCATCCGGTCGCGCCGTGCTTCTGCATTTTCTCGGCGAGCATGGCTGCGTACTTTGTGGGGTGAAGCATTATAAATGCTGCGCCAAAGCACGCGGAGAACGTCGCCGTTGGCTCTTTTATGCCGTCCTCTGTTCCGGCGACCTGCGATTTTATCGGAGAAGTGAATTACAATCTGAATCGACGTCGAAAGCATTCGATTCGAGAGGAGTCGAAAGAGTTTTTAGCTTACCAGAGCTGTGTAGCCGCTTATGAAGTGATACATTGTTTGAGCTAAGCTCAGCTTGCTGACTGGGGGAAGAACTCCGAACGCATCGCAGGCTAAAAGAATGACGTTTTTCGGATGGGGGCCGACGCAAGGTATCTTAGCGTTTGGAATGAATTCGATCGGGTAAGCAGCGCGGGTATTTTCTGAAAAAAAAAAAAAGAAAGAAAGAGAAAAAAGGTAAAATTGTTCATAACTCCTATGTGATTTCGAAATTTAGCATAAAATTTCTCTATACTTTAAAAATTGCATGGCGGCCCTTTATAATTTAAAAAGCGTTGCATAAAACCCAATCACCATGCAATTTTTAAAGTAAAATGAGGATTTACGCTGAGTTTCGAAACTACAAAGGAGTTATGGACAATTTTGCCAAAACAAAAAAACAAGATTCGTTACGTTAGTACAAGTTACGAGTTGTTTTTGCTCGCCGGTGTGTTAGAAGTTCTCACCTGTCACGGATTTGTCTGTGTAGTCTACTTCTCTGGTGTGTTCATCGAACACTACATTCTCAAGAACTGCGAGAGCAACGGGAGATGCGTCGAAAATTTCATCGAAAATGTTAGGATCATAGCAAATTGTAATAGGAAAGCGTACCGGTGCCAAACTTGATCGCGTTCCATATGTCGGGCTCCTTCTCGCCCGACAAATCTATGCATTTCGCGTAACAACCACCCTCGATGTTCGACACACCATTCTCGCTCCAACAGTGCTCATCGTCTCCGATTAGGTACCTGTTTTGGTCAGTCGACAATGTCGTCTTCCCAGTACCTTTAATCAACATGTCCAATCAATGTCACGATTAACTGTCTAATAGATGTATATATAGGTGCAGTTAGTGCTGATACCGCACTATGTAAAAAAGTGTTAGCATATGATTTCAACTAGCACAACATGTAACGTGTAATCTCTCCTATTGCTTCGATTACGGTGCTGAAGTCTTAGACGTCAGCACCGTGTTGATTTTTCCAAAAAATACAGATTCAATGTTCAGATAGCATCAATTTTTAATGCTGATGTTGTAAAAAAAATGTCTAATATTCTATAAAAGTATGTTTGATGTTCTATGTAATATATATTATGCTCTATATTGTGTTGTTAGTTTCCCAAATAGCATCAATTAACGAATTCACAAAATACCAAAGAATTCAAAAAGCACCAATCAAGAGACTAAAAAAACACACTTTGAATATAGTATGCTATTTGTACTCTTGATCGATGCTATCTAAACGATTGAATAGTACTTTATGGCGACTAAACGATGCTATATATACATATGTAGATATAGATAGATATACCTGACAATCCAAAAAAGAGAGCAACATCGCCGTCTTTCCCCATATTACAGCCGCTGTGCAAGGAAAGAACCTGACGTTTCGGCATGAGATAATGCATAACACTGAACAGACCTTTCTTCATTTCCCCGGCATACTGTGTGCCCAAGATCACCATTTCCCTCCTATCAAGATTTAAATCTACGCTAGTCGAGGACGTCATGTAGTGAGTGTAACGATTGCAGGGGAACTGTCCGGCATTGTATATCGTGAAGTCGGGTGTACCAAAGTTCTCCAGCTCTTCAGGACTGGGTCTAATACACCTGCAGAAAGTAATGCCATTGTTATTCAGATCTGCTTCCTTAATCGTAAGTGTAATATAAGCTTGGAATTCTCTGAGTAAAGTTTACCCACATATTGTGCATGAACAAAGAATGGTATGCTCTTGCTGAGACGATCCTGACTTTTATCCGATGCTCGGGATCCCAGTTGAGGAACTGATCATTCACATAAACCTACATACATATGTATCTGTAAATTGTTGATCCTTCATCTTCTAAGTCCAATTATTCAATTACTTTCAGTAACTTTTCACTAGCACAACAATGGTGTTGTGTTCTTGCAGAAACATCAAAACAATGTCATTTTTTGAAGAACAGATGATCCTTTCTAACTTTTCTAGAAAGATTTTACTGTAAAGTTGAATTCTACAGTAGGGGGAATAGGAATCACTGGCAACAAAACTATCTACCACCATTAATGAAAGAAGTTTAAAATCAGTACCTTCTCTAATGAGCACAAGTAATCCACTGCTCTTTCCCTATTCACCATGAAAGTGTGTTCGTCCATCTCAATGTTTGGCGAACCCCTTCCATCAATCAACATCATATATCGTAGTGAATTTTCATTGTTTATATGCTCAACGAAAAATGTTCTATATAGACATTGATATAAGTTTGAAATTGGTTAAATTACACTTACTTCCCCCACCAAAGCTCTTCGGCAGTGATTTCATCTTTGACGACACGCTTATCTCTAGGGGATCGCCCTGTTCTTGCCCCTGACAGAGTCGCCAACGCTCCGCTCGCCGTTATGAACGATCCTTTCTCGTATTTTATTGCTTGCTCGTAAAGCTCTGCAAATGTTCGCGAAAGTTGAAGATGAAATCAGTAAATTACAGAATTTCTGCAATCAATATATATATATATATATATGTATATATACCTGCAGGGGAGAGGTTGTAGAGGATGTGCGTGAACTTAAGGCCACTGTCGCTTATGTTGAAGGTTGGAGCCAAGTGGTGGCTCGCCGCCGATAGCCGAGGCGTCTCCGGCCGAGTCCTCGCCGGATCTCCCTTCACCACGTTCGGCCCTGTCTCTCTCGTAAGCGACGCCAGAGATGCACTAAACCATCAAACACAGCACCACGCAACATTCATTTTGTGAAATTCGTTAACTAATTAACTAACTCCATCGCATAAACCCTAAACCTCCTATACACAGGTCAATTTTGAATCGACAAATCGAATCGATTCCCAAAATACTCCGTCCAGCCGTACCTGATCGATTGGAGCTGCAGCCTCTGGCGCTGCTCCTCCGAGAACGGACTCCGAGCCGCCGTGATCGGAGTCGTCGGCGCCGATTTCTTCCTCTGAAGCGAATGAAGCTCGTCGAGCGACTGCGCTCTCACCGGCGGCGTACTGTCGTCGTGGCAAATCTCGCCGCCGTCCTCCGCATCCTCGTCGATCTTCTTGTGCGTCTGAATCCTTGCCAATCCCTGCCGCGCTTTGACGCTACTGTTCCTGAAGCTGAAAACACCGCCATTTCCAGCACTCTCCATCTCCACCTCAAATTCAAAACCTCCTGCGAACGTCACAGCACGCATTCGTTTCACATCAATAGAATCACCAAATCCTGCATCTAAATAAACCAATTTTGAGCACTAACTGAATAATTCGGAAGATACGAATGAACACGAAGATGATGATCAAAGGCGCCTTTGGCGCCACTATTTATACTCAGCACAAACATAATGCACGTCGTATAAGTTAACTATGGTTAGGTTAATTACCTTAACCATGGTTATGATCACGCACTGTGTATTACACATCACCAAATGTTGGTAATGGCACGTAAAGATAAGATATTATTACAAAGGCCACTATAGAAACTTAATTTATTTTTATTAAATTATTTTAAATTGTTATGTTCTGAAGTCAATAGAGTAAAAATTAAAATTGATTTTGACACGTGTTATTGACACGTCATGATCTACACAGGTTTGACTTTATCTTCTCTATCGCTATGTCCGTATTTCTGGCAACATTTTATTCGTTTTTCCCTTGTTTTTTAATAATTAATACTCCTCCGTCTCATTTACGTGTTCAAGTTGTCGTTTTTGTCGTTTTTCTCCATCTCACATTCCATGTTATTTTTTCTTTTTAAAAAATAATTATCCACTTTAATTTTATTTTAAACTTTTTAATTTTATTTTATTTAATTTTAATTAAACTAATTAATTATTTTAAATTTAATTTATAATTATTTATATTATAAAATAATTATTTTCACTAATACATTCTTAATTATCTTATTATAATTATTCTAAATTTTTGTGGGACGGAAGGAGTAATAAATTAGTACTTTAAAAAAATAATAAAAAATTGTCAAAAAGTCATGTGGCCTTAAAGAATAGTTTAAAGACAACATTAAAAGTCAAATTACATACGTATTTTTGGGTAAGTTTGGTTGTTTGAAGATGTAATTTAAAATTTCCATTTTTATTTCTAATGTTAAATAATAGGATATTGTTTCATGATATACTAAAATATAATTTAGTGTTAAAATATAATTTAATATGTATTTGATTAAAAAAATTTTTTTAATATTTTAAAAATTGAACTTTTCAAACAGTTCAAGCGTTTGATTTGATATTTAAAGTAAATTTTTTTAATAAGTTAATAAAAACATAAATTTGTAGATAAAAAAATATAAATAAAAAAGTTTTAAATAGGTGTGTAAATTAAAATTTTAATTAAATTAATTTATATTTATTTAAAATTGATCAATTTACTAAAAATATAAATATATCAATTGTTACAACAAATAAAAATAAAAAATTTATCAACTGTTATAAGACAAAAATAAAATTTTACATAATATATAAATGAAAATATTTATATATAGTTAATATAAATCAAATCATAAAAATTATAAAGTCCTAAATATATTTATATATAAATTTATTTATTTATTTATTTAAGAAAGATACTACTCCCTCCCCGTCTCATAACAAAGTATCTATTTTTTTATTTTAGTCTGTCACATAACATTACAAATATCCTTACAACTTATAATATATTATACAAACGTCATTACCTTTATATCACACCATACTAATAAGGTTATTTTAGTTATTTTTACTTTATTTTTACTACATCTCAAATATAATACTAATATTTTTAAAATTATGTGCAAAAAATAAATAAATATCTTGTTATGGGACGAAGGGAGTATATGAACATGTTACACTTCTAAAATTTTTCTTCCCCATGCCCACCTTTATCGTGGTGCCACCGATGTCGATTCAAATGGATCTAGAGAGGTTGGGAGAGAAGAAGTGTAAATAAAAAATCATTCAATAACACAACCTTGGTGTGATATCTCGTCTCTTGATCGATATTTTAGGGTTTGTTTTGGGATATTACACATTATTTTAAATCTAAAATTAAAATATTTAATAAATTAAATAAAAAAATATATATTCCCTTAGTCTAAAATAAATTGCAACATTTGATTTTGACACAAATTTTTAGGTGGATAGTATTGTATTAAGTAAAATAATTTAAAAGTTAAGTAATATAATAGAGATAGAAATTTATATTTTATTTTATTTTTTAATTTGGACGCGAGGGGATAAATTGTGAACAGAGATTAAGTATAACTAATTATTTTTCTATTTTGGGACCTACATTGCTGCAGCTTCTTTGGAACATATAAAAATGAAATGTTGCAGAGTGTTTGAGTGTTTGGGACGGAAGAGAGTATATTATATAGTATTCCTTCTGTCCAATAAAATTACAATATTTGTGTCCGACAGAAAAATTAAAAAAAAAAAAGTGATAAAAGTAAAAATGAAGAAATAATGTAATAAAGATATAGACATTTGTAAATAAGTATTAAACAAAAAATAATAATTAAATATTGATTCGTTGATTTTGTGTAATAAAATAAATTTAATTGTCCGTACTATAAAAAAAAAAAAAAAAAGTAAATCTCGAGGGAGGGAGTATTTCTTATAAGTGCAGTTAGGCCGATTTGATCAAAACAAATAAGGAAAAATATTAAAATGATCTTTAGCCCAGTATTGTTGTGGGCTAAGTTTCAGTTTGGTAATGACAAATTGTGGGCATTAATGATAATAATAAAAATTAGGGGAAAAATCATTTTTAATCCCAATATAATAAAAATTTATTAATTTTGCTCCAAATATGAAAATCTTATCAATTTTGGTCTCAATATAACCAAAGCTCATCATTTTTTGTTCCAATATAACAAAAACTCATCATGTTTTGGTCACAATATAAATTTTTTATCAATTTTAGTCACAATATAACCAAAACTCACAATTTTTTGTCTCAATATCATCAAACCTTATCTTTTTTTTGTTCCACCGTCAACAAACCGACGAAAAATGCTGACGTGGACTTGCAAGATTGTGTAATTTCTTCAAATATAAATATAAAGTTATATTTCTTTTCACGTCAGCATTTTACGTCGGTTTGTTGACAGTAGAACAAAAAAAAAAAGGTTTGATTATATTGGGACAAAAAATGATGAGTTTTTGTTATATTGAGACTAAAATTGATAAAAAAATTTATATTGAAACAAAAAAATGATGAGTTTTGATTATATTATGACAAAAATTATGAGTTTTAGTTATTTTGAGACCAAAATTGATGAATTTTGGTTATATTGGGATAAAAATAATTTTTTCGTTGATAATAGTAAGAATAATAATTGATGCATATAAGTTAGAAATTTATTTGTTTACATATGAATGTAATATTAATCATAATAATTTTTTTTAAAAAAATATCATATTAAATATATTTTTTTTTAATTTTTATAACGTTGTATTAAATATTAATTTTTTCTTACATTTAAAAATTTGCCAATCTAAACGGAAATGAAGCTATATAGCCCCAAAAGAAGTTCACAACTGAAGCTTATAACAAAATTCAAGCCTTATTTTATTACATCGGACATGCTAATAAGATTGATTAAAATAGACTAGATCAAAAAATATTTTTTAATTTATACTTTCATCTTGTGTTCACTCACATATTATATATATTTTTATTTTAAATTATCTAATTACAAAATAAATATTTAAAAAATACCTCACTTTTTATTTTTATAAATATTTATATTTTATCATCACATTATTATTTCTAAAAAAAAAAATAATAAGAAAAACTTATCTACTATAAAATACTACTCCCCGGTCCCCCAAATTTTATTACACTTCTTTGTAAACTAAACTTTTACTATTAAACTTATAATTAAAAATTATTTTTTTTATTTAATATATTATATTAAATATTATTTTTAAATTTAATATTTTTTTTTATCCTTTCTAAATCTCAAACTGAAATCCAAATTAAAAAAGTAACCCACCCCACGTGGCCTGACCTTGTGATACATCTGCGACGCTTCCTCTATTAACATTTATGAATGACATTTTTATAGTCCAACTAAAATAAAGGGTGTGTTTACTGTCAGATTTTATATCCGATTTTATTATTTTTAACTTTATTTTTTAATTTTTTTCAAAAATATCACATTAAACACTCAATTTTTATTTATTTTATTACACAAAAATATAATTTTACATTCAAAACATCACATCAACGCGTATTTATATCACATCAAACAACTATTTCAATTCAAAATTTTACTATTCAAAATCAAAACCCAAAACTAAAACCTCACAAGTAAACACACACAAACTGTGGTTAATAATAAATATCCCGTCCGTCCCTTAACAATTTATTTATTTTTTCATTTTTGGTCCGTCCTATAACAAAGTATTTATTTTTTTGTTTTTAGTAATTACACTATCTACTTAACATTACAAATATCCTTCCAATTTATAATATATTACACAAATGTCATTACCTTTATATCATATCATGTAATACTAATAGAATTAATTTAATTTTTTTATTTTTATTTCTATTTTATTTCAATATAATATTAATATTTTTAAATTTTGTAATAAAAAAATAAATAAATATATAGATATTAAAAGGAGAAAATATACGGTGCCTTTAATTATTATCCTACATTTAGTGTGGATGTCATAAAAAGAAGTTTAAGTTGGCGTTATCCAATAAATAACACTGAAAAAGACTGTCTCAAATCAGCTTTCATTTTAATGTTGTAACATCATTAAACTACACTACATTGAAAGCGATTCTTCCTTTACAATACTTACTTACATTTTTAATTAATTTAATAATTTCCCAATATACTTAATCATTAATTAATGAGAGACATATATATATATATATATACACACACATAAATTAAGTCTTAAAATCACATATTAATCCAACATAAGCTTGGTTGCAGGAACAAGCGTAACAATGCCTCTCATCAAGCTAAGCTGACAATAAAGAGGTTAAATAAATTAATCATAACTCGACCCGTTTATTATATTGTCGAGTTTATATTGACTCATATGCAAAATTAAGTCGAAATTTTTCATTCAAATTCACTCATTTTTTGTCATTTAGTTTATGTTGTTTTTAGTGTAATATGCACAGTAAATTAGATTAGATTAATATGTGGACTAATTATATAATCATAATTATTTTACATATATAATAAATATATTAATTAATATTAATATAGTATTTAATTGTTGAGAGACTCAACCTTAACCCGACATATTTATTATCATATTGAATTAGTGTCAATCCGTATATATAATCAGGTTAAAGTCCTTGACCAAAATACAATTATTTGGTGTCGGATCAGTTTTTATCGGCTCTAACCTCCCATACTTTTAAATTTTTTTCATTAATTTCTAAAATAGAATATATAAAAAAAGGGAAAGTAATTTATAAAAATGAAAAATTTATGCTATTTATCCAAAATTATTAAAAATTAAAATTAAAATTAAAATCTAGCATTTTCAAAGCCATGCAAGTCGCTCACCCTATTCATCGACTTCTTCATCTGAGCCACTTTAGCCAGCTTCTCGGCGGCTCTCCAAGCCGAGGTCGGCGTGAGCGGCTCCCCATTTTCGTCCACCAACACCCCAACTTCTCGCTCCTCCGCCGGCGCTCTCCGCCGCGCCGCCACCTCCTGCTCGTACTGCCGCCGCCACAGCACCTCCCTCATCTCCGCCTCTAACCCTTTCACGCACTCAGCCGCCGCCGCTGACTTCCACTGCAGCAGCAAGGCTCGAGCCGAGGCGAGCAGCTGCATGGCGCTGGACAGCTCGTTGTGCTCGATCAATCGGCGCGACTCGGCTACGGCTCGGACCGTCACAAAAGCGTTTCTCAACCGTTCGATCCTCGGAAGCCCAGATCGGACGGTCTGCGGACTCGGGACGAGCAGGGCTTGGTTTTGACCGTAGATCGGCTCTTGAGTGGCCGGATCCTTGTAACAGCATCGAACTGAAAGGACGTGGTGCGACCCGACCCGTGTGTTCGGGACCCGGATTTCTAACAAGAGCTCCTTTTCTTCCTCGGCGTAGAGATCGCCGAGACGGGCACAACCCGACCCGAGAACTTCGGGTCGTTCGTTGTATGTATAAACTGCTGTAATCTCGGCGGGGTCCGACCCGGGTCCGAATCCTATCTGGACCCTCAGATCCTGGACGACGACGCTGAGTAATCCGCCTACGCATTTCGAGAAAGCGTCTTCGGCCGGGTCGCGGCCGAAACCGGAGGTGTGAACCGGAATCTCGACGTGGGAGAACCGGGTTGAGGACACGTGGGACGGACCGGTGGTGGTTCGCTGTGCGGTTCCGGTTCTGTTGTTCGGTGGGACGGCGTCGTTTTGGCCATCTGAGAGGAGTATAATACTGGCGACTGGGTTTCTCTCGCGCCGTTCTTCCAGAACCTTCGTGGCTTGCTTTAGAGCTTCAGCCATGCTGGAGCCTTGGCTGCACGAGAGCCGGTCGATGATGCGCCGAGCCAGGCGCTGGCCGTTTGTCGTCATTCGCCGGAGGGGGAGCAGTCTCGTCGTAGCCGCCGCGAACGCCACGATGGAGAGGCGGTCGGCGGCGCCGAGGGAGGAAATGACGAGGCGCATGGCTCGCTTGAGCATTTCCAGCTTCACGCCGGTCATGCTACCACTGACGTCGAGGACGGTGACGAGGTCGATCGGCGCGCGCCGCGCCGCATCACGTGCGTGCGGCGGCGGAGGCGCCGGCGCCTTGACCTTCAAAACGACGACGTACGTACCGTGAGTGCGGCCCTGAGATATCACAGCAGCTTCGTGCAACAAACTGACTTCCACATCTCTGGAACTCCGGTGATTCGAGAAGGAAGAGTCGCTGCTTGAGATCGGATTTACGAAAAATCCTTGAAATTCTTCGACCTCTTCCTCATCTTCTTCATCCCGAGCTGCTTCAGGAATCGGAACAAACTTCGCACCAGATTTGGGGGTAACCAATGGCTCATCGTCAGCGTAGCTTTTCGAATCACAAAGTTTGGTGAGTTTAGGGCTGGAAACAGGAGTGCTTTTGCTCGGAGTGCCAGAATCCACCACGATAAGTTTCTCTTCTTCCGGTTGAGGATTTTTGCTCCGATTCTGCGTGTGGATTGCTAGCAATGGAACATCCTTCCAATTGGTGTTGCAGACAGGGCAGATTAGAGACCTTTGCTTTCTGACGTGAGAGGCGATACAGGGGAAATGGAAAGCGTGAGAACACTCAGCCGTGTAGATAGCCATTCCTTGACCTGTCTTCACGCTCTGCATACACACTCCACAGCTATTCTGCACAAACAAGGTAAACATGAAATCCTGAATCTAAATCGGAAAACGAATCGAACAATCTCCAATGCTTCTGCAACAATAATCAAAACTTACTCTGGACAGGCGGAGAGTGTTCTTCAGTATCGCGAACGGAGATCGAGGAGAAGACGGATTGGAGCCACCGAGACGAGACCTAGGGCTTTTATTCTGAGATTTAGGCGTGGTTCTTCGTTCAAAGTCAGGACTCACCACATCAACATTCTCTCCACCATCGCCACTCGCATTGGTCCTACACCGCAGTCGAGGAGTCGACGGAACGCTACCTCCGGCGAGCTTAAACCTCAGATTCCCTCCCTGCTGCTTCTCCGCCGCCGCCGAGTCTCCTCTCTCTCGTGAAACCGTATTGCAGAATGCTCTCCTCCATCCCGTCCCCATTTCTCAACCACAAAACCAATCTCTCCTCTCAAACACTACAAATAATCAAATTCAAAATCCACAGATCTGATCTGACGAAGCTCCCAAACAACAAAGCTGATTGATTGACAGAGAAACAGAAAAGAGAGTGTGTGTGATGGATTGATCGATTCTTCTTTTTGGAATCAAAATCCCTAGAAAAGGAACTTTTTATTGCTTCATCCAAACAGGGCCTTACAGAATCGCCTGCTTGCCTTATCCTGCAGGTCTCTATACTCAAAACTGCTACTACACAATTTCTTCTTCCTCCACGTTCACAGATTATATATACTACATGTATCCTGTACTAGCCATACTTATATTTATTTATTTATTATTATTATTATTATTGTTATTATAATATAACTGCCGGGTGTATTTGATTGAGGATTTGATTTTAAATTTACCATTCTTTTCTTCTCAAATATCAAATTAAATATGTATTTTTTATTTTTATATTATAGTAAAAATTAATTTTATATTTAAAATATACATCAATACTTATTTATATCAAATCGTATAACTATTAAATTTAAAATTTTTACTGTTCAAATACCAACTTAAAATCCAAAGAAATTATTTATTTATTACAAAAATGAAGCCACAAATTACGAGAAAAAAGTACCACAATCTATTTTAATTTATTTATTTTTGTGGGAGTCCAAATAAGAATTATTTATTATTTATTTTATTTATGGTTATAACGCTAGTAGTAATAGTAGGCTCTCGCGGTTGTTACTGTTGACTATGGGGCTCCAGTTTTCAAAGCAGTCCCGGCTTGGAGGTCCCGGGAGCGGCTGAGGGCAAAGGATAGAATAGTCAATTCACATGGGGAAATCTTGATGTCAGCGGAATCCAACCTGGCAAGATCTCAGGCACTCTTAATTACCATATATCACTGCAGAACTTTGTAACATATTAATTAATTCAAAATTAATGCCACCATTACTATTATTGCATCCACACTATTATTATTATATTATTATTATTATTATTTAAAACTATTATTTGTAAACAAAGAAAAAAAAAGAAAAAAAAAAGAAAAACATTGATCCAATCTCATCAGTTTACTAATTAACAAAATCATCAATTTACATAATAATAATAATAATAATAATACTAATAAAATTGTGTTCATGTGATGTCACCCTCTTCCAAATCCCACTAATAATGGAAAAGCTAGCTTTTCTTTCCCAATGCATGTCTTATTTTCTCACTTTATGCTGATTTATTTGTTTAAATTAAAATAAAATAATTCACTATTGACAGTCCTTGAAAAGTGTGACATTTAGGGATTCTACATTCGAGGGTAACAAATTTGTCAAACACCACCAATCTTAACCTAATCATTACATTTTATATATACATAAAAAAAATAATTTAATTTCCAAGAGTTGGGCCTCTTTTTAACCCTTCATTATATTCTTTAATTTTGTTGGTATTTTTGCCCTATGGTTAGGTTTTCTTAACTTCCACTCTTCTTGAGGATTGAAAATATTTTAGTTTATTTGAAATTTAGTTTAATTTAATTTTTTTTAATTATAATTATAATTTAATATTTTTTTAAAAAATAATATATTTTTATTTAAAATCATATATAATAAATAATATTTGTTTCGATTTAAAATTATAATCAAACACAACCCTGCTCTCCAATCAATTAGCAAATTTTTTCCATTATATACTACTTCCTCCGTCAATTTTCTATTGTCCTAAAGTATATTTACACAGTTTTTAGCTGATTATCTTTTTGTTATGAATGGACAAATTTGCCTTTAACTGTATGGTAGAGATTAAAAATAATAAATGAATAAAGGGTAAAACTGTAAAATTTGTGTTTAAAAAATAAAATAGGACAATAATTGCTGGACGTCCTAAATAGAAAAGTAGAATATTAGTTTGTGAACGGAGGGAGTATATTTGTCTGACTACAAAAATAAATATTTATTTTTGTTGCAAAGTCTAAAAAATAATTGTATTTTAATTGTACTAGCTAGTTAAAAGTAATGTAAATACATTTTTGTCTTTATTTTATTTTTTTAAAATAATGATGTAATGTAAAATATGAATATTTGAGTAAAAAAAAATATTTAATAAAATAATTATTTTGTAAACAATTAAAATAAAAAAATGTCTACTTCATGGAAAGAGTATTTCTTTGTAACTTTCACTCTCTCTCTCTATGTATACTCATTTTGCTTTAGATTAATATTTTTTTTTATTTAAATTCATTTGAACTCAATTTATTCAATTTTTAATTTTTTTAGCAATGATATTTTAAATAAAATAAAATCTTAAATATGTCATAAATTATTGCAATAATGTTATATGGATAAATTTATACTTTTGATCTCTCTATTGTACTATATAATAATAATACCAATAATCTAGAATTTACATAAAAAAAAAATACATAGATTTTTAACTAATACAGTAAATATTTCTTTCTTAGTGAATATTAAATCAAATTACTCTACAAATATAAATTACAAAACAATCACCAAGTTGTTTTTCTTGCTTTTCCTCTACGTTTCTTTTTCATCAAGTTAATAATTTTCCAAGTATGATTTGTACTATATATTATATTTAATCGTTCGTTCAATAAAATATTTATTTATTTTTTATAAATTTAATTAAAAAAATATTAGTATAATATATATATATATAATATTCTCTCCGTTCAATTAAAAAGTAAATATTTCATTAAATACTTTATTTTTTTCACAAATACCCTTATTTTATATCACATCATTACTTTTACACAAAAAATGAAAGGGCAAAAATATTATTACACTACTTTTAACTACCTACTATAATTAAAATACTATTATTTTTTAAACACTATGCAAAAATAAACGTTTAATTTATGTGTGGACGGAGGAAGTATTTTGTAAGAATATACTTACTATTTTATTTGTCTCCAAAAAATATGTTCCTACCTTTTTAGTATGGATTTTGATTAAAAAAAAAAAAAAAAATTGTTCACTTTTGATTACTTTTTACTCATCCTGATAAAATATAAAAAATAAAAATATTTTTAAGAAACAGATAAAAAAAAAAACCACATTTTAAAAAAATTGATGGAGTATTAAATAAAATATTCTTTAAAAATACCACGAATGTATTATATAACAAGACAGTGATGCGGTAATTTTGCAATTGACTGTCTTTTTAATTACATATAATATTTATTTTCTTTTTCAAAATGTTATACTTCCTTCGTTCTATGAGTAGATATTCATTTGTTTTTTATACGTAATTTTAAAAATATTAGTATTATATTAAAATGTAGTAGGAATAAAGTAAAAATAACTAAAATAACCTTATGAGTATGTGTGATATAAGGGTAATGACATTTGTGTAATACTCCCTCCGTCCCAGATACCATGTCCACGTTGCCGTTTTTGTCCGTCCCACATACCATGTCACTTTCCTTTTTTGGAAAATGATACACACTTTAATCTCATTTTAAATTTTAATTTTTTTTTTATTTTAATTAAACTAATTAGTTATCTTAATCTTAATTTATAATATTATATGATAATTATTTTCACTAATACATTATTAATTATCTACTAATTACACCCCTCGTAAAATACCGTGTCTACAGTGTAGCAGACACGGTATCTGGGATGGAGAGAGTAAGTTGTAAGGGTATTTGTAATGTTAAGTACAGTTAAAAAAAAAGAAATGAATATTTTGTTATAGGATGGACTAAAATGAAAAAATGGATACTTTTGTTAGGGGACGGAGGGAGTATATTTCTTTTGTCCATTCACAGAGCAGCTATATCTTCATTTCAGATTATCCAATTATAAAATAATTATTTTATTTTCTTAGTAATTATGCACCATATTTTTTTTTTTCTTATAAATAACGATATTTTACCATCGCATCATTATTTTTACATTAAAATTTTAAGATAAAAATATTTTTAATTATCTATTATAATTAAAATATTATTATTTTTTAAAATCCGCTCGAAAAATAAATGTATATTTTTAAATTTGACATAAGGCGTATAATTTTTTAAACTTCCATTATTTTTCAATATCTGTATAGTAATTATTAAAATATATTCTAAAAAATTTTTGAATTGTATATATTGATAAATAAAATAAAAAAGTATAGTTGCATATAATTTCCTAGTTAAATAATTTCAATAATTGGTTTTATACTTAATTTAATTGTTGAGATATGGTTGAATATTATTGAATTGTAGTAAGTATATTTTAACTAACTAACCAAATCTTGTATGTATATCAAATTTAAAAAATAATTTACTTTTTATTTTATTATTCACATAATATTGAATTTATAAATGGTTCTATTATTGGAGTAATAAAAAGTTAGGTTGACACTATTTGTTAATAACAACAATATCATTCATGGGATCGAGAACAACTTGAATTGAGAGGTTTGTGGCTTGAAGATCCATGGACTTCAACACCAGATAAATCTACACCGTTGATGATGTAGACTCCACGAAAATACACGGCATTGATCAATCCGGTCCAAGGCCCTGGAGCTCCCAAGAGATCTAATTGCTACAACAGTGATCTGATTGCTAGCTACCTATACCTTCAGAGTAGCACTTTTTGTAAATTTAAAAAGTACTCGATTATTTATTTTTAATTTAAACAATACATTCTTAATAGTATAGATAATATTTTTTATTTTTTATTTTTATCCTACATAAATTTTATTATTTTCTAAGAAAAATAAAAATAAAATTAATTTTTTTTTGAGAAGAGCAAATTATTAAACATAAATAAATGTATTAATTTTTAAACTAAAAAAAAAATACATTTTGGGAGGAGGGGGCTTGGTCTGGTGCCCCTAGCCCCCACTTAATTCTATCATTGACTCAAATGTATATATACAATTTATATATTATTACAAATTAAAAATGTTATTATTGTTAAATAAATAATAATATTATAATATTTATAAGTATATATAAGGCTTGAATGGTATTAAATATATGTATATATATCTTAACGTATATATGTATACGTATATATAATATATTTATTGTAAAGAGAATAATACTCTCTCCCCGTCCGTTTTGAAAGTTTACATTTATCTTTTCCGTCATTGTATTTAATATGTAAAAAATAAATATAAAAAGAGGAACATGTAAAAAGTAAATGTAAACCTTTAAGGTGGACGGAGGGAGTATTACTAAAGATAATGAGAGAAGTGAGATTAGGAAAGATGGTGTGTTTTGAGGGTGTGTTTGTTTGGGAGTTTGGATTTTGATTTGGGATTTGAATAGTAAAA